TGTTTTAAATCTGCATTGTTTATTGAAAATCACACTAAAACTACTGCACTGTATCATAATATAGCTAAATTGTTCAGTATAATTTTCCTTTGAAGTAAATGAAGGTTTTATTTGATGGCACAATGATTTAGTAATAATGTGCTTTTCCTATGCATCGTGTCCATATACAATTTGTAAAGCTTCAGTAAATTATAAATTTTATAAAGCTGTGCTTTCACTGTAATGAAATTTCAATGCTATGATTTTGAACTTAAACTTAATCTTTAAATTCATTTACTCAAAAAATGGTAATGATTTGGAAAATAATGTGTCATTATTTATCATGTCAGAAATCAACTTTCAAATTGAGCACTATACAAGGGTTCCAAATGGACAATGCAACAAAAGGAATTTCATTGACATGAAAACTTCTCTCTCCAACTGTGTTCTTTCAGCATCTGCTTAATCAAGAACAAGATAAAGATGAAGCGGCTCCCTTCAAAATTTGGCAAAAGGTGGATGAATGTTATGCATTTATGTTGGGTAAAAGGTGCTGGCTTGGAGTGGCATTTAGAAGTCAGTTAGCTCAGAGGATTTAAGGCTGTGAACTGGGAAGGATTCAACCTAGTCCATATTAGGTTAGTTCAGGTTTTTGTATTTTTAGTTCAGTATTCATTTTTTTAAACTTAACTAGAGGTAAGTTCATTAGCCTATTTTCTTTTTGTTCTCCCTTTCTTTAGCTTTAGACTTTAGAAATTTAGTTCCTCATTAAATTCTATTCCTTATTTTTTTTCTCCCCATTTCCTATACTTTTCATAAAGCTGTCTCAGTTTCAACCAAAATAGCTGACTGCTTAATGGGACATGAAAAATGTATCTAAGAGCTTTAGAGGTAAACTGTATTGGTATCTTTTAGAATTTATTGCATAATCTCAAATACATAAAATTTGATAGAAATATATGTGAGCAAATGTAAAACACTTTTAATATATGAGAGCCTTAATTTCCAAAGCAGAATTCCTTTTTTTCCCCTTAAAACACTTTAATTGAAAATAGAGTTACAGTACTTATAACATATACTGTTTAATATAAGCATGCACATACAAATTTCAGTTTGACCATTTATATGACAACACCTTGATTGAGTTAAAATTGGTTCCATCAAATGTGAGAATGCTGGAATTAAAAACCAGTTGCATAACTACGCTCACAACAATCCTTGGAAATGTAGTAACATTTGAAAGTACTTGGCGGGAAAAAACAAAATAAGTTAGTACAATGAAGTCCTAAAGGTTGAAATGTGTCGCATAAAAAATTTTCCTAAAATTGTTCTTGATATATAAAATTTTATATATCTTTTTCCCATATCATGTTACACTGCAATGACAATAGCCTAAAAGTAAGTGTCCATCACAAATCAACTAATAAAAAAGATCTATTAAATTTTTATTTTCACCATAACAAAATAAAATAAACATTGGAATCTATTTAAGATCACTCAGAATCTATAGTCTTCAATATTTATATGAAGAGAAATACATTGAAAATATTTTAAAGCTCCTCCAATACTCAAATTATTTCATATTCAATCCAAAATAAAAGGTTCATAAAATAGTTAAAAATAAAAAAGCGGCCTTCCTGAAAAATCCAACAAATCAGAATACATTATTCTACCTATCAACTCCATCATAACTACAAGTGAAAAGAATTTATCTATGCTTAACATAAAATTTATTACTATTTTAAAGTGATAAGACTTTATAAATAGAAAGCAAAATAGTAAAATTTCAAGGAGGAATTTATTCTATCACCTGTAATAAATGCCACAAGGAATACATAGGAGAAACCTTAAGGAATTTAAATAAAAGATTACATGAACACAAAAGGGATCTTTTACAATAAAATATTCATAAGTTGCTCACCATAATGAATCTGATCATAATTTTGATTTAATAATGCTACTTTAATTAAGAGAAAGCAAATTACAAAAATGAAAATATATAGAAAGTGCCTTAATTATTAGATCATCCACAGGAAATTTGCATTCAGGTTCTTACATTTCACCTTTCTTGGCAGATCTATTGTCACAATGTGAGATATTTAATAACAAAAATGATGGAGCCCAGAACATAAAGAAAAGGAAACTGAATGAAATCAGCTAGACTATATACCCAAAACATATTTAAAAAAACAAAACAATTCTAATTTAAAATTCTCAGTGTCCTCTCTATTATGTGTGCATGTGTAGTTGCATGAATGTAAACATCACTTTAGTACAATGAAGTCCTAAAAGATGAAATGTGTCGCATAAAAAATTTTCCTAAAATTGTTCTTGATATATAAAATTTTATATATCTTTTTCCCATATGTATATATAAATACATACATATACTCACACACACACACATATATATATATATATATATATATATGTGTGTGTGTGTGTGTGTTTTAATTTTGATGAATAATGTATTTTTCAATTAAATATTAGATTGCTTAGAATATTTTCTTAAATAATTAAAATTATTGGCTAGACAAAAAAAAAAATTATATAAAATGTGTTCATATTGTATTCAAGTAATTGTTATAGTTATGTCCCCCTTACAAAAAATTCTAAACCATGCCTGTCAAAACAGTTGTCAACCTCTCATAAAAATGCCCACCTGTGTTAAAAAAATATTTTTCTGTAGGTACCTCCAGTAATTTGAGATACATAAGGTTTAAAATGAACTTTTAAAAATGAAAAAGCTTTCATTTTAGCTTTAATTGAAAGCTAAAGGATTTAAAATTTACTATTTCCAGTAAGTATTCCATGGTGTATTTCAAACAGAAATTATATTGATTTTTTTTTTTTTTTGTCAATCAAAACAGCCATTTGTGAAAAAAAAAATGTTAATTCTCGGTTTTAAAAATCTTTCAAAAATAAAATATATTTCTGAAACATTATTTAAGGAAAATTAGCAAATTTAAAGTTAAATTGAATTGATTTGAAACAAATATTACTTATAGCGTAAAAAAAAGTTTAACTATGGGTTCTTGGGTTTTCTGATGTGTTTTTTAATCGATTTATTGTCAGTCAAATGACAGCCAAACGTGTTCATAGTTAAGTATGGTGTAGCAGATAAGGTTTGAGTGATTTTTTTTTTTTTTCGCTGCAAGTTAAAACATGTGACCTTTTTAATGATAGATTTATTGGTTTGTACATCAGAAAATTTGCACATACAAAAACAAATCAAAATTCTTTTAAAAATATTTGGAGTTGTCAGATTGCAGTAAGCTTTACAATATATGATTAGTAAAGGAGTAAAAAAAAATTAAATTAAATATTCAAAAAATACTTTGAACCTTCTTAGTCTTAAAAATAACAACAATTTTGACGATAAACTGTTTTTCATTTCATTTTTTGGCGCATCTTTTCATCGCGTATGCCGATTTATTTAGCGTTTTCATGGGGGTACCTACTTTTCTACAATATTTTTTAAATTTTAAAAGTAAGTAGTGTTTGTTTCAAATCAGATTTAAACTTTAAATCATCTAATCTTCCTTATATTTTTGAAGATTTTTTTTAATAAAGAAAATTGTGTTGACAGTGTTATCAATATGGACGATTTTATTTTTAGCCTTTTTTTAAAAAAAAAAACAAAAACACTGATAAAAATCGAACAAAAAGAAAGAACTTGTTCCAATCAATTTAAAATAAAATTTATTTTAAATTGATTGGAACGTAAATTCAGTTTGAAATACAGCAAAGTTTTGCTGATTGGAAATGTTACATGAAATGTTACTTGAAATTTAAAACAAAAAAAAATTTAAAATAAAAAAGCTACAAGATTTCTCAGTTTTTAAAATGCATTTTAAACCTTAGATATCGCTTTTCTTAGTTACCTATAGTCATTTCTAGTTTTGTCAGTTATCGACAGAACATGTCTGTGTGTAGCAACTGAATGTTTGATGTGTTGAATTAGTTGAAATATCTTGAACAAAAATGTCTAAGCGGTTCAATATGTAAGAGAGGGGTATTATTTCTCTCTCTAACTCGTATGATTTATTTTAAGTAAAAATGTGCTTACAAACAGTAAGGAACCATTAAGAACAAAAGAAGTTAAATATTTTGTATCCTTCGCTTTTTTTTTTTTTTGGCGTGGTAGATTAGATTTTTAAAAGTTTCCCGTTGAGTTGCAAAGTTGGTAACTTTTTTTTTAGTTTAAGTTTTGGAAACTTAAAAAGTCACGTAACAAATAAGAACAAGATACTTAAAAAAAAAAAAAAACAATACTTAGGGGTTAATTTTCTTTTATTAAAAAGTGTGTGTGCATGAAAAAAATAATAAAAGATATTTTACGGTAGCGCACATCGAAATGTAAACACTTTGTTGACCGTTATTTAAAAATTTCTTTCCGGAATAAGATAATTGAGTAAAATTTTCGACATATATTTTTTTTTCTTTCCTCACTTAAGCCGGCGGGATTTAAAATATAATATATAAATATGTTCCTAGATGTTGAAAAAAAAAGTGTTCTCAATTTCTTAACTGTTCAACGAAATCAACCACAAAAAGCAATTTTCCAGAGTGCCATGTTAATTGGCGTCTTCCGCTTCATTTCTAACACTGTTTAGTTTCGTAATGTGATATATGCAGAGTTAATTTTTTTTTTTTTAGCTTTATAATAAAAATTAAATAACTAGAGCAAAAAAATAAGTATACTTTTACTTCGGTTTTTCTGTTAATTGTTACATATGCGTACAAAATGTATTTCCATTATATTTTTCTGAAGTACTTTTTTCAGTAACGTTTTCGTACGACCGCCATTTAAATTATTCGTTATTCTGTAACTGGTCAATATTTTCCGTTTCATCCGACGGCATCCTGTTTTATGTAATTGTGTGATTGCTTTGATTCTTGCATTGTCGTTCAAACCAATAGTTTAGACATATTTTTAGCATTCGCTTTGATTATAAACCTTGCTCCAAGTAGCTTTAAAACTTTATTGAAATTGGTAATATCTAGTTTGTCGGGGCAAGATGGCCTGTGGTGCTACGCTCAAGAGGAGCTTAGAATTCGACCCACTTCATAGTCCATCGCAAAATACTCCGAAACGTCGAAGGTGCATGCCGATGACTTTATCACCATCAACTCCACCAACCAGACCTGAACAAACTGAACCATCACCTTTTGACAATGTTTTACCAAAATTAACACAAGGTAAGATACTCGGTTCCCATCTTTGTTATTTCATAACAATACACGCTGCAAACGTTCCTTGCCGTAGGTCCATTTATTTTTTTTTTTTTCGCTTAATAAAAAAAACATTTTTCTTGAATATTGAAGATGAAAACAAAAATCAATTTTTATATTAGATTTTGCTATACTTGATCTTTTTGAAGATTAAAAAAAAAATTGCCGGTTTTGGCGAAGTACGTGATTTTTGAGACTCCATTATTTTTCCAACATGTCGATCATCGGTAGAAAAAGAAATTTGTAGGTAGTTTAAAAAAAAGAGAAAAGAAAGAAATGTGATGCGATATTTTGTTGACGTTTATTCCTTTTTTGTTCATTCTATTTGTGAATAATTTTTTTTTATTTTCTGTTACTTCAATTGATAAAAACGCTGAAAATTTTAAAAAGTTAAAATATTTCTGTTTTTAATGAATTGTCTGCAAAAATGTGTCGATGTTTTGGGGCTTTTTTTTGTTTGTGTGTGTGTGTTTTTTTTTTTTTTTTTTTTTTTTTAATGGAGGAAAAAGGTTTTATATAGGAAATTATTACAATTTTTGCTTAGTTTTCTCTTCACATTTTCCCTTTTCTTTCTATTGATGAATAGTGAATGAATTAATTAAAGTTAACATTTAATTTATCGTTTGTTTTCATTCAAGAAAAAAGAAAGTATAAAGATTTTTTTTTTTAAATATTACATTTTTAGCTTTGTCTATGAGAATTTAAAAATTTTATTATAGAAAAGCCAAATATTTTAGGCATACAATTAGGTTTGAACTTAACTTATTAATGAATCCCTTTTTCATCGTTTCTTTTTTTTTAATGAAGCGTAATTGTCTTTTAAAAAGGGTTGTAAAAAGTATATTTATATTGCAATAAGAAATTTTTTCATTCTTATGTTATAGATTTAATTTATTTTAATTTTACAAGTTTTTAAAAAATCCCTTTGTGTACAGCTTGTAATTAACATTTAGTTTGTGTAAATTTAACTCGGAATTATTAAAGAAAAAAAGGTGTCTTTTTGTAAGGCCTCTATTAAATTTAGTTCCCAATTATTGCATCTCCCCACCCCGCCTCAAATTTTGACAATTCGATTTTTTTAGTCTTTTTAGTTTTTGGTTTACGCCTAACAAAGAACATAAAATGAAATTGAAAATAAATCTTTGTATTTAATTTGCTTAAATGGATGTATATTGTGTACTGTTTTCAAAATAAGATCTTTTACTTAGGTAGTCTTAAAAAAAAAAAAAAAAACTTTTGATTGCGTAACTTTTAAATTAAAGTAATTTCTAATTGTGAATTTTCATTGTTAGTATTTTATTTCCTGCTCTCCCTCTTTAATATTTTCTTTTCTAAATTAATTTTTTTTTTTTTTTATACATGTTTCAACTTTTTCACTTGGTGTAAAAAATTTTCATATTTAAAAATAATTGATATTTATTTTTATTTTTTTGTTCTTCCAGTCATTTTTCAATGTCTTTGATCTAGGGAAATCTTACCCTATTTCTTGCTACTTTTTTTCTTTCTTTTTTTTTTTTTCTAATATAGAAGTAGGACAAATTCACATTTTTTTTTTTATTGGGTCTCCATTGTAAAATGAATGTTTTAATATGAATGGACTGTCATGGCTGATTCTTCTTGCACCTTTTTAACTCGCGGTTCGCTCAGTCTTTATTGCAATAATAATAATAAATAAATTTCTAAATATTAATTAGCAGTCTAGCTTGTGTATATGTTGATGATATTCTGTTACTGAGGATTATATTTTTCTTCTCTACTAGCCAACCGGCTTTTTTTGTATACGAATAAAAGATGAGGTGACTTCAGTTCGGATTTGTACTCTAAAGAGAGAGTGAGAGAAATTGCGTGTATTCATAGTGTTTAATATTAACAATGACCACATATTTCTTTCTTTTCCTGTTACAACAATCAAAGAAAACCAATTTCATTTGATTTTCTTTTCTTTTCTAACCTTAGTACTGAGTTGGGAAATGATTTCTAGTGTCAGTCAAACTCGAAACCAAATGTTTTTCCATCATATTACTTTCTTTGTTTCCTAATTTAAATAATGACTTTAAGTCTTAAGATCTTTTCACTCAGCTATCATATTTTTTTTTTTTTTTTTATCGTATTGACAATAATTTTGATAAAGTTCCTACATTTGCATTTTATAATTTGATATTTTTCCTAAATACAATTCTGTATAAGGTTGTATGCTTTTTAGTATTTTCTTTATGAAATTGTTAACATAAAATTTAGAACAAAAGTTCAATATAGTATTTCATTTAACTATCAACTTTTTACATATTTAAAATCTATTAAAATGCGTACTAAATTGTTACACTTGTCTATGTAAATAATTCTTAACCCCCTTTGGAGGTTGTGTGTGAATCAATACTTGCTCACTAAGTTTTTAACAATTATTACTTTTCTCTCTATGTATTCTCGCATATAAGTGGCAGTGTATAGTTTTTATTTTAGATCAAACTAATGCATTTTGCCAAGGCAACCAACATTTTCAATTTACTACATACGCATGTATAATCATAATCTTAGTAATCTCATTGGTGTGAAACTAACAAAAAAGTTATAAAATAATAGTTTTAATTTTTTTGAAGAAAAACACTTGACTGCAAATATTATTTGGACTATATTATAAATTGTTTAGATTTCAAGAATTTTTCTTGTTTGTTAAAATTTCAAAAATGTTACTTATTTTTTGGTAGTTATTTTTTAGTTAGTAACTATTTCTGAACTATAAAAGGATAATTTTCCAAACTTTATAATTTTAAAATGTCTAAAAGGAAAACAATATTCATTTTGTAATTTCAGAGTTTCTAGTGTTATGAGAAGAAAATTGCATTGCCAGTTTAAAATTAAAGGTTTCTATGATGTAATCAGATATTTGAAACCTTATGAAGGGAGAAAATGTATATTTATGGAGAAAGAGTCAATATCAATATCAAAAGATATATATGTGTATATATATATATATATATATATATATATATAATATTTCTGACTAAAATATCCTGATTTAAGGAAGGACAGTCACTATGCAATGTTGATTTGTCACCTACATGTAATTTATTTTAACAAAAGTATAAATTATTGTTCTGATATCATGTTGCTATTTTTTTTTTTTTTTTTTTATTGAAAATATTCATCTTTCTTGTCAGTGTCTTTGTGTTTTTTCTTTTTTATAGAACAAATAGCTGCTAATATCAGCATGGAGATCAAGAGATTACAGCGGCGGAGACAGTTACATTACCAGCGGGCTAGCAGTCCCCCACCTCAAGAGGCTGGCAATTCACAGTCATGCACATCTCTATTGTCTCAGAATTCACTCTCTCCTAGTAAGAAAGATGCACCTTTGTTTACTTTCAAGCAGGTAACTATGATTTGTGAAAGGATGCTCAAAGATAGAGAGTCTCAGGTCAGAGAAGAATACAACTCTGTACTTTCAAGCAAGTTAGCAGGTAAGATTAAAATTGGTTTTATCATTTCCTTCTACAGTTATGCTAACACAAAAAAAATAAATGTTCCATTTTTTTTAACTTGAATATTTTTTCCTTTAATGTTAGTTTCACTTAATCTGTTCTACAAAAGTCTTCAGTTATATACTGCCTAAAAGCTTCTTCTAATAATATGCTATTTCCTTCTAACAATTTTATACAAAGTGTTATTTTCTAGGAGGTGAATTTTATATATATATATATATATATATGAATGTAATTTAATGTCTGCAATTTACATATTAGAAATGGGAAGGTGAGACTCGGGCTTAATTTAATTTTGTGATGATTTTCTTTAGTTTTGATTTTTCACATTTTATAAATTGGAATTGCAGGAAACAAATTCTGTATTTATGTTACAGTAAATAAACATTTTGTTGTGTTAAAAAAAAAACCTTAACAAAGATGGGGTATTTATGTATAGATAATATTATTAATATTGCAAATAGCAGTTCAGAAAATCAGTTTCACCAAAATCCTCAATTGATGATTTAAGGGGTTTTATGAGAAAATGATCAAGAAATCTTAGAAATTAGCAAACCTCAATGTATAAACTAAAAAGTTTTAATAAATGGAGTGCATTTGATTTAAACATAAACCAGACAAAAAGGTTGTATTAAGCATCTGATGAAATTGACTTTTTCCTCATATTTATAAAAGCCACTGATTCATGGAGTAAGAGTTGTTTAATGCATCCTAACTTTCTTCAAAATGGCCAAGCATTGGGTATAGGTAAAGACCAGTTTCAAATGAAGCAATCTATAAAAAATATCCAATTTAGAAAGTGCTGTTACTTAGCTACAGAATAATGGCCATCTTTAAAAAAAAAAAATTGGAACATCTCTTAATGATGGTGAATTTTTACTATAATATTCTTATTCACCTGATCTCTGTCTCTCTTTTTGTGTGTGTGTGTGTACACCTGTCTCTGTTATACAAATGCATATATGGTTCAAATAGAAGAAAATTCAAACAGTGATCATGTCTTATCAGAATTGACAAGTTAATTAACTGAATAAAATCTGAAAAACACATCTTAAAATTTATTTTAAATAAATTTATATTTTATTAAATAAACTGAAATTAAAAAAAAAATTTTCAAAAATACTAAATATAATTTAGAGCAAACTATAACACAGCTGTCTGAGGTTTCCTACAGACCCACTGAACTTAAATAAAGTCAATTCAGGTTTCCTATGGTAAAAATTTTCTTTCCCAAGTGAAAATCATCACAAAAATAGCAAAAAGTCATTTTGTCACAGCTTATTTTCTCTCAAAATATGGGTTTTCATACTTTTTTAGGGGTAAAATATTGAAAATGACTGTTTTATCATTAAACGAATATCAAGGAAACTTTTGATCTGAACCCCATGAAACTAGGTATTTTCTGAAAGCAAAAGATATATTCTTTCATTTAAAAGTAAAATTAGCTGGTGTAAATGACTCAAAATTTTTTTCAGTGGGTAAAATGTGAAAAAAATAGTGAAAATTTTGCATTTTTTTCTTGTTCTAAACAAATATTTCCCCATTAATGGAAATTAACCTTTTTTTTTTTTTTTTTTGAAAATCAGAAAGCCTAGATCATAATCAAACTATTTCAGGCATAAAATTGAGAGTTTTGAAGGAAATCAACATTCCTAGGGTTCAAAAATGCGACAAAATCCATTGTTAATTTTCAATTATGACTGCCAAGGGTTAAAAAATTGACACCTGGCCACGGAAATCTTTAGTAAAAGGCAAGAGATTTATCTGCAATTCCTAACCACCAGAAACCAAATTTTTTTTTTTTTTTTCCTAAAAATAGTGATAAGGGAAAATAAACCTAATTGACTTTGACGTTCAGGGTCAAAGGCCAGCCAGCCAGCCAGCTAGCAATAAACGGACGAAAAACCTTAGAACAAGTTGTAATAAAACCCACCACTCCCAGATAAAAGCAAAAGGGTGAATAAAAAGGGTTCACAATTAGGGCTTCATATAACCTATGTTTGAACAATGGCTTGATAAGTTTTGTTTTGTTTTTAACACCCCGTGACCCGGTGATGACAACAACACTTAGCAGACAACATTGTTTTTTTCGCCGCATATCTTTTTATTTCCTATCGCCGGTCCATTTAGCCTTTCTTTTTTTATTCAATGATGTTCATGCCAAATGAAAGAGAAAGGAATGAATTTTGAATGATGTTATTTTGAAGCTTAAAATGAATATTTTTTCATTAAAAAGGGATTTTTTCAGAAAATTGTGCATAATTTTTAATGCTAATTGAGTGACATTTTCCACAGCCAAATCGAAGATTAATTACCAGTGAATAATTCCATGTGCAAAAAATAGCCGTCTGATCCTATAAGGTCGCCTAAAAAGGTCCAGAAGTTTACTAATTGATCGAAAACCTGTTAAGATAATTGTATTTTTCACGGTCAGTTTCCATTATTTCATCTTGATATTATCATTTTCGGACAGCCAAGTCATCAAGGATTCAGGAAAACACTTTGACATAGGTTTTCTTTAAGAACTTTACATTCTATGAGGTGTTTAAAATGTTACTGACGAATGATTTTTTTTTGAATATTTAGTTTACGCGCCATGTTGGATTTTCCTATATGAAAAAAACAAGGGTTTTAAATTTGTGATAAAGATTTGTTTATCTATGAATTTTAATTTTATCTAAAAAATTTTTTTTTTTTTTTTTTTTTTATTAATCTTGAAATCTCTTTAATCTTGCAACTGGCTGGTTAGTTTATTATTTTATATTTTTTGTAATTAATAAACATTAGTCTATATATAATAATGAGTTGTGTATCTCCCAGAGTTTTACTCTTCAAACACTAGTTTTTATTTGCAATGTACAACAATATGTACTTTTAAATATATAAAACTAACAATTGTTTACCAGAAGTGATCATGATTTTTTTTTTCTCTCCTTGCAGAGCAATATGAAGCATTCTTGAAATTTAATCTTGATATGATCCACAAAAGCTTAGTTGATTCACCATTTTCTTGTAAGTGGATTTTTTAAGTTTTTGTTTCACCCCAAGCAATGCAATTTATTTTTATTTCATTCTTCTATAGAGTTCAACATTTTATCTATATAATCTTTTTTTTTTTTTTTTTTTTCTTTAGATATCTCCTAAGACTCTAATTGATCCTATGGATTTCTGACCAAGTTTTCTGTGAATAGCCAACTGTTGATTCCAGCATATTCCTGATGTTAATAGCTACTACAACTACAACAAGTATTTCTATTGCATGGAATTCTTTCCAGCCAGACATTTGGATATGACTTCCTAAGGGACTACAACATGATGAAACCATCCTAGCAAACCATTTGGAGACATTCCTTTCCATGGATATACAAGCTGACGCCTTTCTCTGGATTATGGATCCTCATGCTTAATGGTGCAACAACCAGTGGAGGTTTAAAGATTTTCTGTACATATCAAATTGTGAATTAAGTTTTTTATATTAGAGATATATATATATATATATATATATATATATCTCCTTCCTTTCAGATTATCTAGACTTTGTTTAGTTGTTCAGTGGACACTGGATTTCTGCCATGTAAATAATAATAAAAACAAAAGCATAAATAAAATTTAATTTGGTTTCTCTCTCTCAGTTAAAGTCAGTGCTACTCTGTTTTATGGATTCTTAAATTCTTTCTGTAAATTTAGTCCTTTTGTTTGTATAGATTTAACCATTTTCATATAATCGAAAATATTGTTTACTGGAGCTACATTTTGCATAGATGTAATTTTATATACTGCTGAATTGCCAATTTTTTTATATGAAAAAAAATCCCATTAAATAATTCAAAAACTTTTCAAAATAATATTAACCTCCTGTGATCAGTGGTTGCAACTTGGTGTGAGTGCTTTCTTTTCTTTTTCCCTATAAGTGAAGACAAGGAAAGCCAGAATGTTGATTCTCTTTGTAATTTTCCTTAAACTCTAACATGTGAGTGTCTTGTGGGTGGAGCTGAAGCAGTTACACCTTTGTCGTCCATCATTTTACAACTGTTTGAATCTTAAGTACGGGTTGGCTGTAGATCCCTCTTCTCGCCCTTTTTTTTTTTTTTTTTTTTTTGTTTTTTTAATCTCTCTTCTTCCAATGAATGTTAAGTAAAGAGTCAACAACTGCATTGTATTTTGATTTGTCTCTCTGTTTTAATTTCTAGTAATTGTCCATTGGAGAAGGTTTAATGGAATTTTGGAAGCTAAAATAAAACAAATCTTTCAGTTTTGGTTGTGAATCATCATAAGTCCCAATTTTTTGGTTGAGTTGAAACTATCCCTTGTACTTTCCTAGCTGTCAGCTTTAAAGAACAAAACTTTTTCTCTTCCTCAACCCCTTTCCCAGTCAATGCCACTTGGCCGTTTTTTGTCAGTGGCTTATAATTTTGGATTAAGCAAAAAAAAAAAAACACATTTGGATGAGTGTTGACTCTTCTTTCATAATAGCAGTCCAAATCAATAACAATGTAAAACAATCATCTTAATTATATTTTTTCTTTCTTTGTTTTTAATATATTTTTTATTTTAAAGGACAAAAGGGGAAATCTGCCCTGAATCTCACTTTCTGGCAGACTAATATACACAAAAACATTTATTTAACAAAACTGAAATAACCAAAACCTTTTGAAAAATTATTAGATTATATTTTTATTTGTATTGACCATTTAATTTTCTTATACTTTTATTGTCTGTACTTGATCAATGTTAAAGGTTTAGTAATTGATATTTTTATTTATTTTTTTTTTTTTTCTTAATAAAGGAAAATAAAAAAAGAAAAAATGTTTCTGTTGATTCTTAACCCAAATTTGTTGCTGCTTTTGTATTAAAAAATTATTTAAGAACAAGTAGACAAAGTGGGAGGGTGTTTAAATTTCTAATTTTTGAAAGGTCAAATAAATCTGATCAGAGAAGCTTTTAAGCTCATTTTATTGTCAACGATTCATTGACAGAAACTTTTTTTTTTTTTTTTTTTAATGAAATACCAAAAGGAACTGCAAAATCTGGTGTTCAGTATTTTTTTTTTTTTTTTCCTCTCCAGTAGTTGCACAAAATTTTCATGTTGGCCTCTAGCATGGAGTCTTTAAAATAAATACAATTCCTAAGAACGATGTATAAAATTGTTTTAAAAAGTTTTTAATATTTTTATCTGCTGCTACTGAATTCATGCTTTTATTCATCTCCAGCTTTGTTAATTTTGTAACTGCATCTTTTTTTTATTTCTCCCCCTCTTTAAGTCAGTTGGCTTCAGTTATGCTTTGTCATAGTTTTCTTGTTATTGAGCAATGAAATATTCAGGGGCTGAGATGACACTTTTATTTGGACCTAATTGTTAAGAGGGCCATTTTTCTTGGTACATACAGTGCCTTTGATATAATTTATTTTTAACTAACATTTGCCCAACCCTTTACAAACATGTCAAATTACTGATCATTGTGAGCTTTTGGGACAACTACTTTAAAAACAGTTAATTTAGTATTTTACAATGTTTCATACTATTGTACTTAAGAAAAGTGCTAGTCACATAATTTAACAGTGCCTGCTTTATCTGGGCCTTCTCCAAGAATTCTGTTCTGTTGGTGCAAAAATGACTGACATTTAAAAAATCTAATGACTCATTTTTGTAAATAATTTGTATGCATAATGTGATTTGACTAGTAGCAAATGAGATAAAAATTAATGTTCTGTATTCAAGTTTGCTTGCTCTTCTACAGCAATATATGCCTTATCCAACATTCCTCTTTCCTTTGCTGTGTGCCAGCCGAAAAAACACAAAAAAAAACTCACACCTTTTTGCCATGGTTATAGGACCCCTTGATGTTGGAATGTAGGCCACCTTTTGTTCTTAAGAACTTCTTTCCTATTTTAATATCTATTCAAACTTTCAAATCTTAGTAATTTGTAATATAAATGGCTGGTTTTTCTGTAAAAGATGATATAAATTGGTTTCACAATTTCTGTCTGAAAACCATAATTTGTTTCTGGCTCTCTCCCTACCCTTTCCTTCCTGAACATCATTTACATTTCTGCTACATTACACAAAATTATTTTTGTATACTGAAATATGGGTATTTGGCTATTAAAATAGGTTGCTTTAAATTCCAATGAATGGCCAATTACATCATTGATATGTACATTGCTGGGAAGTTACAATTGTGAGTTTTTTTTTTTTTTCTTTGTATTGCTCACATTTTAACCTTTGCTTCTGAAAGAGGTGTTTTTAATAGGGTTAAAAAAAAACCATTCCACATGAGTGCAAGAAAATAGTTTAAAGGAGGGTGAGGAACATTAATAGGTTGTTTCCATGTGTAAATTGAAAAAAAAAAAATATTAAAAGCAAATGACCAAGACAGTCATTTCATGTAGGCAATAATTGCAAAGAATAATTGATATTGAAGTAAAATTCAGATTCTTTGGAATAGTGGTGTTGGAAAATTATTGTACTTTAGTTAATTACACACCTACAAAGATGAAATAAAGCAGATTGCATGCATCTATTTGGTTATGTGAATTGCATCCAATACAGATTCAAATGCTCTTGGCATGCTGTGTATTGCTTGTGTGATTGTAATAGAATTTTTGCTGGCTTTGTCTTAAGCTTGATTGACAAAGGTATAATGGAGGCATATAAATCAGTTTGATTTGTATTAGGCAGTTCCAATTTTTATATCCATTTGAAATGTATGTTTCAAATAAAACGTACATATACCAAGGTTTTTTTCTTTCCCTCTTCCTTTATTTCTAAAATAACTGTCAATCTCTGGTTACAGAACACTTTGGCCTAGTTTTCTGCATATGGAAGTTATGGAAATCTCAATTTTAAAAGATTAAGTCCCTTATCAACAAGGTTTGGCTATAAGCTTAAGGAAAATGCTTTTTTACCAATTTGAAAACTAAGGCAAACATTGATTCTTTAGTCCCCAAATATTGAATATGGTAAGCCCCTCCTCTTGCCAAATTGACATTGAGCAGAATATAAAGTAGCATCTTAAGTTAATAAAAAGTTATTCCAATTCTAAAGATTCAATAGAAATTTTGAAAATGTTTTTTTATGGGGTGAGGGGTAAAAGGGCCATGGATAAAGAAAGTCATAGAATAAAAAGGTGTAGCTACCAACATAAAAGAACAATGGGTAAGTTAAAGAATTAAAAAAACAAATGGCAACATTGCAATGTAAACAAAAATTCCTTGATCATCTGTGCTTTAGTTTCACACTAACAACTTAAAGGATGTCAATTTCTGCTATTGGAAAATAAATTCAATCATCGATATGTAGAAATGATTGTGACAACTTTAAGTCAAGTGACTCTGGCAGAAGCAAATGATTCAAAGACTGCATGAACTATTTTGATACAGCAGCAGACATGAATTTGACTTGGGGGCCAATTGTGTGTCATTTATATGAAATGGTTTCATATTCTATCAAAACCCTACAAAAAAAAATTGTGAGTAAGGGCATTGTTTGGGCTAATGGAAATTAGGCAAGTGTTCTTCAGCAATGAAAATAAGTTTCAGTTAGCTCTTATGGCATAAAGGTTAAAGATTGATCTCAAATATATAAGATGGGGAATCTGTTAAATCTAGAGGTGGTAATTTATAAGTAGGTGAAGTTTTGGTCCATAATTTTTTTTTCTACATGCAAAGTAAATGTTGCAGTTTATAAGAATATTGAACCACATGCTGTTTGTCCTACTGAAAAAATGGTCAAACAATTTGAAACTTAAAATGCTGAGATTATTTCATGACCTAATCCAAATCTCAATCCAATTTAGAATCTTTAGATCATTAGCATTGATTTTAGGCAGAAACTCTTGAAAGAATTGGCCAAAATCCAATTAGTAAAGTCCTTTGATCCTGGATATGCAGAAGTAATTAAAAGCTATGGCCTGTACATACCTTGTTAATATTCTGTATCAAAATGAAGACAATGGTGTATTTTGTGGGGAGGGTGTAAAAGTTTTCTTTTAAAAAAAATTATTTTTCTATAATTTATCTTAATTTTTCCATGCAAATTTATGAGTGTAGAATAAGTACTTAAAATAATTACTGCAACTCAATCCTTATCAAATCAGAATTGGAAACTTTTTTTTTTCTAAGATGCTTTGAAAGTTTGTGAACTTAAGTGGGGCTGGTAAAATATAAATTCAAATTGGAAATTGTCCTCACCTGAAAGAAGCTTAAGGATGTGGTTTATCCATGAGGGATTGAAATTCAAATTTGGTTTCCTAACAATTGATAAAACATTGATAGATATTTCTGCTTGAACCCAATTTATACAGACTCCTCTCCCCACAAAAATATTTATTGTAAAATTAAGAAAAATTTATCTAAGCATAAAGAAACACCCCCACACCACAAAAAAGTTTTTTTTTAACAAAATTCATTCTTAAGAGAATATATACAATTATAAAATTGTATTTTAACTTAAGAAATTAGTTAAGTTCATACCTCTCCCTCATATACTACAATGTTATTCTTATTGTGTATAAAATACTATCCACCATCTATCACTTAAAACTCAAAGTACATGGATCTTTCAAATAACACTCAATAGCCTAAAACTTTTTTTTTTTTTTTTCCATAAGTTATTCTTAGTGATAAGTTTTTGTGGACTGGCTCTCCCTTAAATAACAATTTGTCTTAATTTTAACTGGGACTTTAATTCTAATAAAGAATTAAATAGGGCATGCTTAATTTTTTAAGATACTGACCATTTAACATTTTTCTTTCCCCCATCCTCTTCTTAAAACAGATCAAATCTTCACTGTCATGCAAGATGCCTAGGCAGTTGCAAATTTGAGAAGTTTTTATACAATCATTTCAATCTTAAAAACTCCATGAAGATATCTATTGATCCAAATCTAGCTGAACTTAGATTTTTCAAGAATGATACTTGGCTGAGTTAAGATAATTATGACAGATTCTTTTTATTATCTGGGAATTGTCAGATTTTCTTGAAGATGGCAAGGCAAGGGTTTCTACTAACCTTTTTAAAAGTTTTAGTTTTCCTTGTGATTGTCATTGAAAGCCCAATTTACTCCACCAAGGGCATTTGTGCAAAAGTTAATGCCTGGAATTTGAACTCTGCTTGCTGGTTCCACTTTCTATACCAATATTTGTTATGCTACTGGCTGTGACAATATTAAATAAATTGATATTGAATGGTAACCCTGTTTGAAAACTTAAATTACAAGCTTGTTCTTCACTGGCCACATTATGTATTTAGCTGTGTCAAAGTTAGTCTACATTTACAAAAATAATGTATTTTGATTGTCACAGAAAAAAATAAAAATAAACAAAGAGCTTAGAAAGAAGTTATATTGTTTGAGCAGGAAAATAATTGACAAGACTTTATATACCTCAAGTTAACAGTAATTAAATATTTAATGCTTTTACTTTAGGACTCATGCTGCTGTGATGTAATTGGGGGAGCTTGGTTGTATAACGAAAGTTTTTTGGGGGGGAGGGGGGGTTCTTTCTTCTATTGAAAGAAAGAAAAGAACCCTCTTTAATTTAACACTTATTAAAATATGTCAACTTCTCTTTATACTGTGTGACTAGAAATTAGGATTACTCCAAAAGCTAATTTTCAAGTCTTGGGGATTATAGAACCAGGCACAAATAAATGGATAAGTTTTCTCTCAATTCCTGCTCATTTTAACTTGTCACTAATATTACACAAAAAATACTTTGAAATTATTTCATATCTACAAGCAAATTTATTATATTTGAAAATTCGAAAATGAAAACCTTTCAACCTCATAAAATACATTTGTACACATTTGCTTAGATTTTTAGGTAATTTTTAATGGCTTAATTAAAATTGATACCATGAAGGCCAATACTTAAATGTGTGTGGTAGTTTTGCATGAAGTACTGCAAGACAATACAAAACTTCATTTGATTAATAAAAAAAATTCATTTATTTCTCTTAATATCTTTTCCACAAAATTGAATGAACAAAAAGCAGGTTTTGTTCATTAAAAACAAAATGGAGAGACTGCTTTAAAAAATAAAAAGGTGACACCATTGCCCAAATATATTTGGGGGAGGGGGGCATTTTTGAAATTGCCTTAATAGGATTTTGTTTTTTTTACATATCTCATATCAATTAACCATGGACAAATAAAACCTAACAAGAATTTAAAAAAAAAAAAAAATACACACACACAAGCAAAGACACTTGTGCAAATGTATAACCAAAATGGTGGGGATGGAGCGTGACCGACTTCAATTTTAGTCCATGCAATTAATTAATATTTGAATTCTGTAATATCAAAAAATGTTATCAAGAAATTAATTTGCACAATATGACAGAACATGTAAGTAGGCTTTGTTAGTCTTTCTTTCTCTTGTCTGATATGTGTGAAAACAGCCAACAAAGGTTGGAAAGGAATAGTTAGAAAATGAGGGGGGGGGGGTCAGGACACCTTCAATGCTTAGAGCGAATGAACATTTTGGTTCCAAGAGTTTATTGAAGCAAAGTTGCAAATGAGAAGTGGGAAGGGCAGTTAGATAAGCTGTACAAATAAGCTTATCCCAATAGAAAGTGAGTGAATGAAATACATTTACAATGGAGAGCATTTTAAAATGGTTGGTTGACCTCTCCCCCTCCCACAAAAAAATCCTTATCAACTTCTTACAAAAGAAAAGGTTTTAATATAAATACCTTCCCTCTTTCAATTGGAAAACTAGAAGCCAACTTTTTTTTTTTTTTAAGAGAAAATTTTCTTAAAGATTTTGGGAGTGTTGATTTATGGGAAAATTTCTGCTTTACATATTTATTTTTTATTTTTTTTTAATATCCAGTTCTTTCATTTTCTCTCTCTCTCACACACACACACACACACAAAATGATATTTATATAAATGGTGAAAAAAGAACCCATGATGAAACATGAAGGGGTTGGAAGTTCGTCAAGTTTCAATATTCATTCTTTACTTATTTTAATAAAACTTGACTGGATTTCAATAAAACTAGTTTTGTCACTCACACCTTCACTTTTTTTTTCTTATTTAAAAAAAACTAAAGTAAAACAAAAACTAACAGATTTAAGTTATTAGCTTCCTGCCAAGGTCTGTGGAGACATAGAAATTGTTTTGACAATTCTAGCTGGCCTTTGAAAAGGAGGGAATCATTCACACTTTGAAGAGATAAGAATTAATCTTCTCTATTTTTAGATTTTGTTTCTTCAAAATATATCTTAAGAGCCTAAATTTAGTGATATACATTATTAAAGAATTATGTGGAAAAGTTCTTTTGTAAGTCGTTGTAAAACTATATTTTACTGTTTTATGGCATTGGACTAGTAAAAAGGAAAGGAGGAATAGCTTTTAAAGCTATCAGGCGTCCAAAATACAGATGATATTCAAGATAATTTAATTCCCAAGTTGTTCAGTTTGTGACTTTCATATGAAAGCAATAGAAGGAAAAAGATCTAAAGAAACCGTCTTCTTTTGGCAAAATGCCATCCAGTCTCAAAGAGGTAATTTTCCTTATCTAAACATTGGCTCCAAAGTGAGTAATTAATATATTTTGTGAAGGCCAGTAACAATTTTGAATTTTCTATATTTTGAAAAAATAAACTATGCTCTCCACAACTAGTTTTTGTTCTAAATCCATTGCAAAATTAAAAATTGTTTTCTAAAGTTGCCGGCACCAAAACTTCAGTAACATTATAATTGGTAACAGCTGCACTTGTTCCAGTGGACTCAGAAGGTAAGAGATGTAGCTCTAGGCTACATGTGCTGCTACAGGTGGCCTCTGAGGGAGGGCATAAGGAGCACCCAGGAACTGGTCAGCAATACGTCCAGCTTCACGGAAACCACTGAGGAGGGCTCCATGAACAGTGGCTGGATAGTTACGAATTGTGTGTTCTCCTGCAAAGAAGAGCCTGGGGAGGTTTCCAGGCTGAGGAGGGCCACCTGCCACAGCTGGGTTTGGGCACACTGGGGTTGCCATTAAGTCATAATCATTACCTGCAAATAAAAAAAAATGAAAATACTTTCATAAATCAGTCATTTATAGATTTTATAAAAGCAAAATAAGTCATGCATTCATTTTTACCAAGAGTAGTAGTAGAAGTATAAAATTTACTGTAGCAAAAAAAAAAAAAAAAAAAAAAATTCTCTATGGGAAACCATACAAATATAGGCTGTGTTTATAATGGCCCACCATACACATCAGGATAGACTCTTTCCCTGTTAGTATTATGAAGAGGTACAGCCTTTGAGATGGAGATTAGGTAGTTTTTATTTGTACCATGTACATGACTGATTATTGGTAGGAAAGTTGTTGAACATAAGAACAGCTAGACATTTCACAATATAAAGAAAATATTAATTTTGCTGCTGTTACTCATTGAAAATGTCAAAGATCCTTTAAGATAAAGCAATATCTAAAATTAGTTTTTGAACACACTTGTAAGATGAATTCTAACCAAGTAAAAATGTTTCCACTGGCATATTGTTGCTATTCCAAGTAAAAATGTAGTTTGAAATCAGTTTTAATATAAACCATTAGAATACTAGAAATAGACTGAACATTGCTTTTAAAAATGTCACCAGGAACGGATTATCTCCCGTTTTTTTCTTTTCAAAAGATGAATTCAGTTCTTTCCATATAGAAACAAGCATTAATGCTAACATAAAAATCAAACATCTTTTCAAAAATATTTTGATTTTCATTAATAAAGTATAAACCAAGGACCATCAAGATTATCACACACACACAATCATGAAAACATGCATAAGTATTAGGATATAAGACTTCAAAAATTGTTTCAGAAAATTGAGTAAATAGCACTGAACAACCCTTATGAAGAGTAATAGCCTAATTTAAAAGGCCAAAACAAGACATTGATAAAGTTCTGACATAAAACATCATATGTCTAATTTGGTTTAATTCAATTTTTGAAAATATCAAATGGCAAAAGACCAAAATGAAAGAAAAAATTACCAGAGGAACCAGCAGCAACATAAGAGTAAGAACCACGAGCCCAAGGGTCAGCTCGCCATCGGGTTACCAAGGTTTCTTTAGGCTAAAACAACAAAAAAAAAAATTTACATTTTTAAAACTTTCAGTCCTTCCAATGCAAGTTGAATTTTTTCGTTGTGTAGTTGTATCTTTCTATGGCAACACTTAAAATAATCTTGATTGAAATTGTAAGTCATGCTACTACAATTTCAAATATATAAAACTAATATATCTTGAGCAGATTCTATATACAGTGAAAGGGGAAGTAATATTTATAAATGATGCAGAGTTCTAAATGTTAAAAAAAAATGTCAATGTTTAGTGGAAGGAGAATTGGAGGGGTAACATTTGGCTGTTTTTTTTTTGTTAAGAATTCATAATTTATTTTGATAATTCTATATTTGAAGTTTTTAAAAAGTAACAAATGAATAGTTTGTAAATAAAATACTGTTCACACATCCTGCATATCTTATATTAGTTTTTTTTTGGGGGGGGTGTCATTAGATATTGTTTTATTATTATTATTATTCAATTCATGATAATGTCTGATATAATAACAAATATTAATGGTCATACACCAATATAATACATACAGGTTGTGTGCAATGGACTGTGATCTTCATTGTAGAGGTTAGGAGATATTGAAAAACACAACTCACTAGTCTTTGTTTTATTTTACCATAAAAGAGAGAGAGATCAAACAAGAAATTATTTTTTTTTTATTTATTTCAATTCATTTGACCATAAAAAGGCAAGAAAGATATGAATGCTTACTGGCCACTTGATATAATTGTTAATTGTGTACCTACTTGGCCAGGTTTCCTCTTCTGTTACCAAATGTCAGAGATGTATACTTTGATGTCACTGTACAGCTTAATAGAGTACTCTTTTCTTTTCTTTTTTTTTTTTGACAAATATTTTACAATATCCCAAATCACAAATGCTTGACAGTCAAGGATGATTTTCTTTTAATCAGTTGCTTTGAATTTTCCCCAGAAAGGTCATTTGTTTAAACAGTAATTTGTAAATACATTATACTGCAAATGATTCACTTATTCAATTCCATAATTTATTTAACTTTAAGATTATTTCCTTATTTTTCTGCTTCCCTTTATATAACAAAACTGGTTTTGCCTCACTTAGAACATTTACTGTCAAGTTATTTTGCTGTATCTAACTTCATAATTATTACACACATACATACACAGATCTGATCAAAAAGTATTAGGACTGGTGCTATTAAAAGAAAAATACAACACAAATCCATTTAGCATTTAATCATCTGAAGCCACACACTTTATCCAGTATTGTTTCCATTGATGGAAGCATTCTTGGAACTCCTTTTTTGGCATAGCAAGTAGTTGTGTTGTTGCATTCTCTTGGATTTCTTCAACATCTTGTTCCTTTCAATTAGGATTTGATTTTTGAAAAGGTCACAAGGGTCAAAATCTGGGGAATATGGTGGTTGTCGGACCTGCAGAATGTTGTGTTTGGCCAAAAACTGCTGCATAAGCCATGTTCAGTGATGGAACCTCTGTGATGTGGTGAGACAACCACACACTACATACTTTCCTTCCAAGCACTGCTATAAACAATGGAAGTGAGAAAGAACATTATAACTTAGTGTATAGTCCAAGTCCAATCTGTGCCAAGTGGCTTCACTTGCCATACTTTAGCTCCATTACCACAGTCACAATAATTTTTGATCAAACATTGTATATATAACTTTACTACAAAGTCAAAGAGGAAATGATTGTAAGTTAGGATTGTCTGCTTATCTTTAAAATAAGTGTCCTAAATCCTTTTTTATCTAGATTTCAACACCCAAGCAGTGATGTTAGTGGGAAATACAAACTACTACAGCCTTATGGTAGGCATCATGTAAGTTGTCAATAGAAAATAAACACAGCTATGTAATACAAATTAACTCAACTCTGACATACCATAACTATGCAATACTCTTGTAAAAAGTTAATGAATTTATATTATACACTCGTTATATAAATTTTGCTGATGCATAAATACATTTGTTGTATTTTATAGTTTGTAAATTTGAAATATATACAGTACACATTTTTGTATTTGCTGACCTTATAAGGTGTACTTTTTACAAAAGAACTAGTGTGTGAGGATGAGTTGTACAAAACTACATTATAAAAAATGTAAAGTAAATGTCCTATAGATTATCAAATATATTTAATAGGATAACAAATGCAGATGAAAAAATAACTGGAAGTAATTACCTGGGGCACAGCATTGTTTCCAAATATACCCTTGAGAACAGCAATTGATCGACCAATGATAACATCATCACTGACATTCTCCATGATAGCTGCTGCTTCTCCGGCCACAAGGGCAAGCAGCACTGGTGCTTTATACAAATTCCAAAACAAGAACAGCTCCCCACGGCTGGCTGTGGTGCTTCCGACATGGCCAAACAGATTGGCATTGGGATCCCAAAACATTCGGTCAAAACACAACACCACCTGAACAAAAAAAAAAAAAAAAAAAAAAATCCCTCTTGTTAATCTTCATTCAAGACAAAATTTTTTCGTTCATTTAATAAAAATTCAGAAATTAATAACATTGTAGTGTCTTCTTTTATCAAGAATTTCTTAATACAAAGCAAAAGCACCAGACCAGATGTGGCAACAATAATCAATGCATGGACAAATGGTAGATTTATAAATGTGTAAGACAGATTCTGGCAAGAAAAAATTGTCTACTACAACGCAGTGAAACAACTTTCCTCACAGCAGACCTGGTAATTTAGTCATGTCAGTGGAAAACATTAACCTGAGAAGGTGCAAGGATTTATTCATCTGGAGGTTAGTATCAGCCATGCTGATGGAAAACAAAAAAAAGCTTCTCTCAGGCAATTAAAAGAGAGCAGTATTGTTTTGGAGGTATTAAAATTAACAAACCATTTCTTGCCCCAGTTAAGATTATAGGTAATTTCGAGGAGATCAGCTGCCAATTTGACTTTATCTCAGACTTACTATTAAGACAAGAATAAATAGTTGTGTTGTCAGCATAGATACAACATTGAGAAATGATGACATCAGGAAGGTTGTTGATGAAATTAGGAACAGTGTAGGTCCAAGAATTGAACCCTGGGGGATACCTGCATTAACCATTACCACACTGGAGGTGAAAATTGTCACTGTAGAATTCTCTCCCTTTGCTGCTCTAGGCGCATTGTCGTCTATAGACAATTGCTATAAATAAACATTTGTCAACTGTTATTTCTTGTATTTTAAGCTGGAAATCGCCTACTACTGCTTTAGAACAAAGTTAAACTTCCATTTCGAAACATCATTTTGAATTCTTCCAGACTCTACATGAGGTGGTAACATCAATTAAACCCACATGAATTTTTTTGTAAACAAAAATGGCCACATCAACATGACGCTTTTATACAGGAGTTTTTCTTTGATTTGGACTCCGATGATGATTTTGAAGGCTTTACTCAAGTAGATAGTGACGGTGAAGTGGTTGAAGATCCACACTAGTGATGTAGGGGAAAGCAATGATGACCACTAGTGGCTACTATCATCCATAGGTGACTAATTTTATGGAAACTACTGGCCCCCAATGAATGTACCAGATAGCCTTTCTGAAGGTGAATTATTTTGTCTTTTTATAAATGATGAAATAACTTTATTTGCCCACGAGACAAATAAATATGCTAGTCAAGTGAAAGGAAGACTAAACAAATGCTGGTGTCTTCTCATATGTAAACATGAGAAAGTATGTCACTTTTTTGACAAAATGAAAGCCTTCTTGGCCATTTTGTTTCTTATTGCACCCCAAAACTCCACAATTTGTTTTTTCGTGTTTCAATATTTTTTGTCTTCAATGTCAAAACATACATCCAAAACAAATTGCATTACATCAAAATATTATTCATTCATTCTTTTATTAGTATACAAAAAATAAAATCTATACACACAATACCAAGAAAGTTATAACAATTTTAAAACAGTAGGTGTTCATGTTCTTGCACCCTCAAAAAAATTTAAAAAAAAAAAATGCAGTAGCAGGGGGAACAATTCTAGAAAGAAATTAGCAAGCTAAAGTTTAATACAAAAAAACCTAGAAGAGTGGCCATTCAAGACTTCTTTCATTTCATCATTTGCTAAAAAGATAGAATCAGATCAAAAATTTGTCCATAAATATCATAACCTTCCAACTTGTGAATACTATCATGTCAAACACCTTCAAGATATCCAAAGTAACAGCCCAAGCTTCATCATATCATTCTTACGTAAAGTTTGATAGACTTTCAGCAATAACTACTAACACAGCAGCAGTTGACCTAGAGAAGTGAGAGTTATATTGCTTGTCTGAAAGAAAAGCCTACAATGTGAAATGCATAAACAATTCTGCTAATTAGAGCCTCTAATACTTTGCCACAAAAAAAAAAAAAAAAAAAAAAAAAAAAAAAAGGTAAAAGGAGGCTAATAGGCTGATAATTAGAAGGATCAGATAGTTCATCTGAGTTCTTAAAGAATGGTAGTACAGAAGAGGATTTCCAACAAGCAGGAAAGCAAGAAACAGCCAGGCATTTATTGTAGAGTTCAGGAGCACATTGCTTATTGCAGGGATGCCATCAAGTTCAGATGCAATGTGGGGTGTCAGGTTTAAAGATGATAGCAGAAACTTTTCATATTTATTTCGTCATAAAATTGTAAATGATAAATATTGCATTATAGTTGGTTCGCAAATTTTTATAATCTTGTAAATAAACAATTTAATAGATAAATAGTGTTTAATATTTTTGTTGTCAATTTTCAAGAACAAAGAATATGTATAAAACACTTTCATATGTTTGGGTTTTATTAAAATTCTATAGTTTTTTTAAAAACAATACACAATGTCAATGGACTATCCAGTAATTCTTTTGTCAAGAGAAAAACTATTCTTTTGACACACCACTTTTTTCAGAGTACGAAGGTTAAACATTGCCAAGTTTTCTGCTCAAATCAGTTGTTGCATGGACATTTTGCTGCATATTACAATTTTTCTGATATAACCAGTTTTTCATTAAATATCCCTGTTCTATAATATTGTTATTCACTATTGGCAACATGTATCAAAGGTTATATTTACCCTAACAACAACTCTTTGATGTTATCTTTAAACCTGTCATGTCTTAAACCAAACAAATTCAAATTTGTACATATTATGATTATATTAATTAGCAGATAATATTAACCATGGATAGAAATTTAAATTTAAGAACACAAGTTTGTGAACAGGCGTGAAACTTGAAATGTTAAATGATAATCAAAATTACAGGATATAGTACTTGTTACAATATTCTTTTTAAAAAAAAAAAAAAAAAAAAAGATGCAAGGCACTGTAACTGATACTCCAGAACATAGTGTTATAATTTCCTGATTATGCAAGAGAATATGTTATGGAAAGCCAACAGGTTATGCTGGAAATTGAATCATATTCAAATAAATTCAAGAGGTACAATTAGAATTTTATTGCATTAACTCAATATATGACACTGAATCTAAGAAAAAAAAAAACAATTTTAATGTATTTCTTTTTTATTAAAGCCTGTTCTTAGTGCAAAAACTAAACATGAAATAGTTTTGTCTTCATGGTGTGCTTAATGATGGCAACATTCACATGATGAATTATGTTCATACAGAAGAAAAATGGGATTAAACCGCCAAATGTTCAGAGAGTTATGACATGGGTTTGAATGAGCTTCAATTTACATTCTCCAAGTTTGGGCTGAATTGTGAAGCATTTATTGTGTAGGTTATTGTCCTAGTAACATTGCCATTCCTTTTGAATATATTTGTTAATGACGTCTTTGAAGTCAGTATGAGATTTTGGTCATTGAATCTATATCCATATCTGAAGCTGATTTGGCTGCTAAGTTTGCTTTATTGTTACCTTCCACTCCAACGTGGCTAGGAATCCAACATAGATTGATGATTTTATGTTTGCACATAGAGTTCATTTTACATAATAGCTTGATAATGAGTGGGTTGTTGGATTTTTTCCGTTCAAAGCTATCAGAACAGATAATAAGTCCAAAAATATTAAGAAATGTTTTTGTTTGCTCTATCTGATGATGTTGAGAGTTAGCAAAAAAAAAGGTGCCTATTTTTACTGTGGAGGCTTATGGAATTAAGCCTCCACAGTAAAAATAGGCACCTTTTTTTTTATATTTTGGTAATAATTTGGCTCACTGCTGCACATCCTATCTTGTCCTCACACTTTGACCTGTCTGCATAGATGGGTGTACAATTAGGGTAGTTTTCCAATATGTCCTGAAACTTGTCCTGGAATGTAAGCAGGGGAATCTTTTGTTTAGAGAGTTTATTTAATTCTAGCAAGACTTCAGGTTGTTTATTGTCCATGATGGAATACTGGCTGCTGTTGTTTTTTGTATGTTATTAGAGAATGAGGTCTCTAACTCTTCAGCAATTTTCATCTTGAGTCTATAAGATTGTATGGTATAGAGATGGGACGATTAATCGGAAACATCAAACTTTTTGAGGTATTGGAATCAGAATCAGAGAATTTTTAACCTAATTTCTGATTCCAAAAACAATTCTTTGGATGTTTTTTTTTTGTTTAAAACTTAATATTCCATTCCTGTTACTAATGATAAAAAGATATAAATATTTATTTACTGATTTTAAGCCATCAGCAAAACTAAAATCTATATATCATAATAACACCTAAGAATGATGTAAATTTATTTTAGTTGTGTTTAAAAAAAAAAAGAAAAAAAAAAAAAAAGTGCAAGTTTCTACTCAGTTCTAATAATTATAATCAAAGTTATGTAATATAAACACAAAATGAATTCATGTTGTTCTGTCAGACTCTCTTTAAGACAGCTTTTATTATTTTTTTTAGTGTATAAAAAAAAAAAAAAAAAATGAATGTATGGAATTCCCACTGTCACATTTGATTTCTTCACATAAAAAATGGACTTTGTCAAAAATTGTCCTTGTGGTGAGGCAGTTAAATTACAACAATTTGTTTTTGCAATAGTTTTAATCCATAAAATCATTTTTTAGTCTCAATTATTGAAAAGATTTACTTTTATTTATGCAACATACTACGTAAACAAAAATAAATCTTCTTTTCAATAACCAAGGCTTAAATTAGTAAATATTCTTTTTAGGAAACTTAAATTTGTTTTTACAAAATTCATATATTTCTTAAAATTTTATAGCTTTCAAAATGGATTTTCATCTTTATTTACTTAAAAAAATAAACTTTTATTTGAAGTTTCCTGAAAAAAAGCTTTTTCACACAAAAGTTTATATTAAAAAACTTAAAATTTAATTTCCATCAAAAATTATATTTACAGATAGGAATAAAAATTTAAATTTCATCTTTGTAAGATGTCACAATCTTACAAAGATGAAATTTAAATTTTTATTAATGCATTATTCCAAAATTTTAACACATCAGCAGATAGCTGTTAATATCAACAACTGAGCACAAATAGTTATTAATTTAAAAAATTAGTAGTAATTAATGTATAATATTATCCATAACTACATGTACAAGAATGTAGTTTTTGATAAAAGTTAATAAATAACCATAAATATGTAAAAAAAATGTGTATATTGTCAAAAATTCTTTTTTCCACAATATAGCTATTTGTGTTATGTTATAATGCTTATTACCTAAACAAGAATAATACTGAATAATTTTTTTTAACATTAAAGTATATTTAATCATATCTCCCTAATAGCTGTTACAATCTATTAATTTTATTTTACTAATATTTTTCTTTGGCATAATTGAACTTGCCTTATGTTAAATTATTATGGCATTTAAAATATTTTGAACTTTTTTTCTCATTTATAGTATAGCCAAACAAGATGAAAGTTTTATCATTAGAAATGTAAAAAAAAAAAAAGTTAAAAATGAGTATTTTTATCCCATTTTTATCTGATGTGCTTAAGATGTAGATTTTTACTTTTAACATGATTTGTTTTAATATTTTTAAAATAAAACTAATAAAATTTCATCTTCTAATAATCTAATAAATAACTTTAAAAAAAATCCATCCCATGCAAAAAATGCATTTACAATTGTTCTCATCCTTATGAAGATTTTAATCATTTTTATTTTTAATGGTTTGTAACAGTTGAATATCATACCTTATAAAATGATCAAGTTGGATATCAGCATTATTTAGCTTCCAACTTGCTAAAATTTTTTTTAAAATTTATTGTAAAGTTTGCTAAAATTGCTTATATCCCTTTAAAAAACAAAAAAAAGAATACATTTTTACTGTGTTGCACTTTTAACTCTTTCTTTTTAAAAAAAATAAAACACTTTTTGATTCTTTTTAGAAATATTTTTTAGATAGATTGAAGATATTTTATTATTTATTAAGTTGTTGTGATAATTCATATTTAATTCTTATTAAACATCTGTAAGCAAATTTAAAATTTGCATTTATTTCTTATTCAGTCCTGCAGGATTAGGTACTCCTTGTACTTTATCAAATTATATGCATGAGTTAAACCACAATACATAGGATGATCTGCTTAGAGTATTATTGTTGCAATATTACATATATATTAGGGTGTCTCTTATTTTTGAAGTGCATGCTGAAATTGAATTGTCACCCCTAAATTCATTGTTCCATTCATTGAAAAATGCCACATATAAAATTTTAAGGAGATTGCATAATATTTAGAGGGCACCTTTGCTTGTTAAAACTTGAAGGTGGGCAAAAAATACACCCTTTTTTATTTTACAATTAATAGCAAACCATTATTAATTGAATCTTTACAAATTATACACATTAGAAAACTAGAAATGTCTTTTATTTAACTGAAAAATTTAAATTTTAACCAATGTTTATTATTTTCAGACTCCAAGTGTATCCAATGTGAAGCAGAAATATGTAGTTTGAAAGTTTTTTAAGAATTCTAATGATAACCAAAGTAAATCAATATGTCAACTGTAGCTAACTTAAGTGATTTATGTAAAGAAATTATTCTCCTTATTGTTTAAACTCTTATTCAATTTTTTAAATAAAAAGGATATCTAACTTTACTTCATAAGCTTTTGTATCCATTTTTCTACTTGTTCATTAAGTTTCAACTGGAGGGGATGATAATTTTAATCATTGTAGGTATCAGAATCGGAATCAGGAATTTAGAACACTATCGGAAATTGTATCAGAATCAGTAAAAATATTGGTATTGTCCCATCACTAGTATTATATTATCTTTTTGTTGGAATAGATCACAGTAGGTTTAAAGGTACTGCTGTAAGTTGGGTTAGTTGGACATGATTTTATTTTGACATAGTACGGTAGTGCTAGTTTAGTGCGCCTTAAATGTGAAGGTGTTTCATCAGCTTCTGTGTATAAGCTCTCCACTGGGGATGTCCTAAAAGCCCCAAGTATTAGATGATAGGTTGTGTTGAGTATTTTTGGTATGATTTTCTGGCTGCCTCATATATGAAACTAGTGTAATCCAGGATGGATGTACTGCTTGACACTCAAAGCCCAGTGTCATGTGTATAGTTGTATTGATGGTATTCTTTTATATTCAATTTGTCATTTAGCTTAAGGACTGTTCCTGAAGGTAAACAACTGCCAGTGATAAGTCTGTTATTAGCATAAGCTGTTCATTTATGTTTGTCTTTATTCCACAGCAATTCCATTGAATTATTTTATACATTATTGCTAAATCTTTTGCAGGGATTTAGCTTAGTATGTGGTTGTTATTTAATTTTCTGAGGTTTTGAGTTTGGAAGTTTTGGTTATTTGTGGGTTCCATTTCCATTTCTTCTAGTTTGTCAAATTGGTTTGGGGTAGGAATTTGGTCACTGTGAATATCTACTTTTTGTTTTACTGATTCTGTTTTTTGGGGAGATAGGTTCTTTAGTTTATCTTTAATAGTTTTTGGTGGATGGATAGGAGATTTTATATTTTTTGGAGGAATGGTTTGATTTGAGCACTAGACTTTGTATTTGTTTTTTCTTTATTTATTATTTCAATTCTTTTGTTGGCCCTCTTCTGTGGTTCAGTCTGCACTATCTCCTTGGAGTAGATGTCTTTCAGGTAATTTTGAAATTTGGTCTTAAGTGTCTGGGGACAGGATCCTGGTGGTTGATGGCTTCAGGAGTTAGGATTAATTACTTCTGATTCCCAACACACCACTTTGAACCTTGCTTTGCCTAGACAGGCAGTCGGAGAGGCCCGATCTGATTAAAAGCTCCTATAACTATATCAATTTATGGAGTACTTAATAACTAAATGCAATACTCCAAATATACACTGGTGTAATGGATAATGGCTTGGAATTGTTAATCGAAGAGCAGTGTTCCAATTCCAGTTGGGTTAGTTATATTCACTTATGCACAAATACTCTTGGGAAAGGCATGAATCCACCTCTTCTCCCTGTAGCTATGGGTTAATTATTAAAACTTGTATCATTAAACCATTATTACCCCCCCAAAAAAATTACAATCAAAAAATATCTTCTGGCTTTAATTAACCTGCTATGTAGCTATGGGTTAATTATTAAAACTTGTATCATTAAACCATTATTACCCCCCCCAAAAAAATTACAATCAAAAAATATCTTCTGGCTTTAATTAACCATTGATAAGCCATGAAAAATGAATCAATCAGTTTTTCTTCAATATTTGTAGTAAGAAAATGCATTTTGTATTTTAAAACAATAAGCAGCAATATTTTAAAATCATGCCTAAAAATAAAAGCCTTTAATTCATAATTTAAAGTCTATTTGGGAGACTTTTCTTTTTTAAATCAGGATGAAAACAAATAATTTTAATTTTAGATCCTTCAGATTATTTGAATTTTTTAGGTTTTGAACTGAGAATATTTCATACAAAATGACAAAGCTCTAAATAAGATAGTTGCTAAGAGCTCATTTGATAAAAAAATTTTTTTTCTCAACAACTGGTCGGCTTAACTTCTTAAGTGCATCAGAAGAAAAAAAGCATCCAGTCTTACCTTGTTTAAGTTTCCAAATCCAAGTCTTTGTATTGCTGCCGTCTTCCAGTCTGGCAATGACGGCGAGAACTGGACAGTGTTGGCACCATTGCTTCGCAGCACACAATCTTTCAACACACCCAAGGGTAAAGTGCAAAGGACAGCATCTCCTTTGTAAGTCATTGGGTTGCTGCTGTTGCGTGCATTTGTCGTCGTCACTTCAACACCTGACAAAAGATTAAATAGCAACATAATATCTTTGTTCTTCAGTAAAATATCTCTATAGCTTTCCTTTCATTTATTAATCACAACCATCCAATGGTCAGCACTTTATGATGAAAAATAAATTATACCTCAGAAATTTAAAACAAATGTTTGAGCTAACAAAAATATTTAAAAACGAAAATATAAAGCTGCAATTAAATCACAAAAGGCATGAAAACAATACTAAAAAGAAAGTTTATTTAAGAAATAATTGGTGCAGTATTTACATTTTTAGAAAATTATTGTATTCACTTTGGTTGTAAATATAACATTTTGGAATTTCAATAAGGTGAAATAGGAAGAAAATGATATTTTCACATTTTACTTATATTTAATGTAAACAAACAAATCAATTTGAATGGAGAAATTAAAATAAAAAACAAACAAATTTCATGTTGTGTATCTGTATAAACAAATTTTCATTGTTCCAATTGTAACTAAAGTTGTTTTTTTAAGATATAAGATGATATTTTCATTTTAGGATAGTATATTTTATTTCTTTGTTATTTTAATGTATCATAAAGCTGAATCAAGTAAAAATCACAACCACATTGCAGAAAACAATTCTAATTAAATTAGAATTTATAAGAAAGTGCTAACAGATTTGGTTTAGAAATATTTTTTTTAAAACCAATCAATTTTATTGCAGTAAGTGAGAAGTTTGGTCATTTTTATACATCATATACTCCACTCCCTACCAAGAGAGGTCTGTTACAACAACAAAAAATTACTTGTCATAGAAACAAGAACTTTTACACAAATGCAAACTCTTAATGGATTTAAATATATTTAAAACAAAGACCAACCTGTAGCAGAATAACGGATTTGTCGAACAGCAGTGTTAAGTTTAATGTCTAAGCCTTCAGCCAAAGCCATAGGAACACAAGAATAACCATTTCGGACTGTAAACAAAAAATTATAGGATTACAGAAAATTTCAGGAGGAAAACTGGTTCAGACTATTTGCTATTATATTTGGGCTATACAAATTTTAGAGATAATTGAAAAAGTAAAGTTCAGAGTTTCAGTCTTAAATCAGGTAGATTTCTTAGCTGAAATATTGTCATCTATTTTTTCATTAGTTTTTCTTTCATCTTATTTCTGTTACTTTTCATCGCAAGTTCTCAAGTTGTTTATTTTACATCTATTCTATGACAATTAAAGCAAGTAACATTGATAAAAAAGGAATATGTTCCCAGTGAAATAAGAACATGCTGTGAAGGATAAAGGATGCAAATGCTATACATTGAAAAACATTTAACACTCACCAAGCAATGTGGATTTTTATCAACTAAAACTGGGAAAAAAATTGGGGAAATTATGAAAAGAGTTAATGACTATGGCTGTGTTCTGAAAATTAAATTACCTGTTAGATGACTACCAGAAAATTCAAAGCCATCATCTTGATCCCAATGTTTGAGAGATAAAGTGGACAGTGGTGTGGCATTGGCAAACTCCAGATTGGCAAAATGCCAGTCAAGTATCTGACGATCACGTGAAGACAGGTAGACATCACTGAAGAAGAATAACAACAACAAAAATTAAACAAAAAGCAAATAATTTATTACCAAAATATTACATATACATAAAAAAAAAAGAATCAAAATTCTGTTATGTATCACAAAATCCATATTATGACTGACAAAAATCATCAGATTGAATACTATAATCATGAATGATGTAGAACAAACATCTACACCATCTCCCTGGTAGCTTATCTTAAATTATACTGATAAACATACAACACACTCCATCACCCAAGTTTTCCACCAACTGGTTAATGATTACCCCTCACTGCATTATGATTCTTGATACTGTTAGTGTGCACCCATATATGGGGAAGGGCATGTTGCATGCTCACAAGTTAACATGATGAAATGCAACAGACACACCCATCTCCCGTCAAGAACGAACCAGAACTCTCCTGGATCCCAAGTAAAACTGTTAACATAGACCAATACCCGGATATACCCATTTTTTGGTTTTGTTGTCACTTGGTCTCCCAAAATCCCTCATCCACTCCTTTATTTCCCATTCCCCTTTGGTCAAAGTGGATGCTGCTTAGAAGACTGAACTTCAAAAGGAACCATCTGTTGGTCCATCAAATAGAAACACTTGAGATAAAACCATCTCTTCCTTTTCTACATGGGTGTCCATAGAATCATACAACAAGAGGGTTAATCTCTGACAACTATAGTATCCACTGATCACCCCACATTGCAATCCAATTCTTAATCTTGTTAGTGTGCACCAAAAGCTGGGGAAAGGGTGTGCTACATATTCACAAATTAACAATATGAAACACAATAGACACATCCATACACATCCATCTCCTGCCAAGGGTGGACTAGAACTCTCCACTTGACCCCCAAGCACCCAGATATACCCTATTTCCAGTTTTGTTGCCACTTGGTCTCAAAAAAAAAAAAAAAATCATCTACTCCTTTACTTCCCATTTCCCTTTGGTCAAAGTGGATCCTGCTTAGAACTTCAAAGGGAACTGTTGGTCCACCAAACAGAAACACTTAAGATCAAGATAAAACCACCTCTTCCCTTTCTATGTGGGTGTCCATAGTATCATACAAGAGGGTTAATCTCTGACAACTATAGTATCCCAAAATGAAACATCAAGAGAAATGAACAATTTTTGTCCCTGTCTACATATCTGCATGGGGCTTCAAAAATTAAAAAAAAAAATCTAACATCATGTACCCAACTATGCCCCCCAAGACAAAGTGAGTAAAAATTCCTCATCTGCAAAAAGGTGGAATAATGTACAAAATAAATAAAATAAAAAAAATTTTTTTTTTAAAAATTGGTATCCGTAAAATTCAACTATTCATTCTTCTATGTCCTCTTTTATTTACTTTTCTCATTTATTGTAACAAATAAAGATTTTTATCTGCACATATGCAGGAAAATAGAAATTGCAACTTCAGTTTTATTCATTTTAATAAGATATTGAAAAAGTTTAAAAGCTGGGAGTTTACACTTGTCTTTTTGTTTTGGTTAAATTAACTTATTTTCAGGTAATTATTTAAATTTATTCACATCTGCTGATTTAACAATCTGCAAATATTTTCAGATAATTTAAATATATTTCACAAATCCCAACACCCAACATATTACATAAGTAATGTTATCTCTATCACATAATAGATGTTACATTTACATACACATTTCATACAGCAACTCTTGGACAGAGGTCATGTAAATAATAATACTTAGAATAAATTCTGAGTAGTTGTCATCTAAAATAAAAACTCCTACACTTACCTGGGGGGAAGAGATTCAAGTTCCTGAAGTTTTTCTTCTATTTCTTTTTGTTGTGTAACAAGAACATCATATTCCTGAAAGGAAGTATTATATATACTATGATTCTACTCAAAAGGCTACAAAAGTGAATTTTGTATCACTTTTAAAGAGAGATAAACTCATAAAAGCTAAAAGTTTTCTTTTCTACTATTCCATCAGAAAATTTTCTATCAGTGATATAAAATGACGAGATTTCATTTATACACATTTTTGTACTGTGATTATTTACATAAGGAGAACCCCTATTAAAAAAATCTTGTGTTTTATGGCAAATGTATGAGTCCTAAACCACTCTAAATGCACTTTCTTCTTAGTGAATACTTTTCTCTCCTGATGAGACTGGTACCACAATTTTTACTCAATAAATGCCAGTCTGATCAGAAGAGAAAAGGATTTACTAAGAAGCAAAGGCATTTAGAGTTTACAAATCTAACAATTCTCAACCAGACTCATAATATCACTGATCATCGCAAAAAACAATAGCAGTACAATGCACTATAAGAGTTAATAGAGAGTGGGATAATTTGAAATCCAACAGAAATTAGTGGTTTTAATAAAAAAAAAAATAAACACCGTCAACACTGACCAGTGCAAAGTTAGCCCTATGGCTAAAACATTGTTCTAAAACCCTGAGAACCAGACCACTAAAACATGGTTACACTACCGGGTATAGGTGGCAGCGAAAGGTGTTATAAAACAACAACAAAAAACAACCACACTGATGGTTACATTTAAAAAATTTAATAAAAAAAAAAAAGTTAAAAGTTGCTATTTAATGTTTATCAAATAACTAAGAGTTAAATAGGTAAAAATAATGTTTATATTAATGAGAAATATGTAATATACTGTGTGTGTGTGTGTGTGTGTGTGTGTGTGTGTGTGTGTGTCTGTACAGATGTAAAGTAGATGGGCAAGATGTAGACATAACTCACTTTGCAGGCAGCATTGAGATCTCTGAGTTTGCTTTTGACCAAAAATTCAGCAGTGATATCTCGGGGACTCTTCACTTCAGAGGCCGTCTTCCACTGTCGATGTAATTCTTGGACTTTCTCTTTGCATTCCAGCATCTAAAAACAAAATGAAAATTCATTTAAATAAATAAAAAGAAATAAGAAAAGGAAAAAAAATTTTAACTATTGAATGACAAGAATTAAACAGACTCAAACAATTTTATTTCTTACCGCTGTTTGGTTTTTCTTTAGTTTTTCTTGAAGTTCAATAATGTTTCTCTGATGTTCACATTGTTTCTCTTTAACATGTTTCTCTTGTAATCTGAAAAAAAGAAAAGAATGATCCAACAATATTTTGTATTTGGCATTTTACAATATTTCATTTAATTTATTAAACAGAATATTTTTAACTAATGTTCATACAGAAACATTGTTTTCTAATTTCAAAAACAAATTCCACCTTTTCACCTTGACAGATTTTAAATTTATTAATGTAGTGTAATCAATTAATATCAATGGAACTATATCAAAATTTTGGTCTCAACATTTCAAAGAGTATATATTTTTTCCTTGTGTGTCTTCTGCATGCATGCATGCATATACACTTACAAATATAGGGGGGGATTGTTTTTCAATTACAAGTAATTTGCTACACATAACATCTGAAGAATTTTATCAAATATGAAAAAATCATACTAACTTGATGACAGCTTCCAAAGACTGTCCCAGAGATAAAGGTTTGTTATTAATGAAATTACAATCCAACTGATGTGAAAGGTAAGATGTGGCTTCCAACAAACGATTAAATTCTCTCTCTACCATTTCATCCTTATCTTTAGGAACCTGAAAAAAAAAAGAAAAGAAAAGAAATGAAATAAATAAACAAAATGTTTTTACCAACTTGACAAACAGAATACACCAAAAATAGTAATAATGCAAAGTCAATATTTAAGATAAAATATTGAACAATAAAAAAAGAAAATGTTGTATGTACAAAATAAATTAAAATTGTTCATGTGTATCAATATCCAAAAGCCTACCAAATAAAAGTAATAATTGTAACCAATTTAAATTAATGTCTTGGATTCATAAATCAATTTTTTAAATCTTTAGAAATAAAATTTTTGTGTGATTTTAAAACAATAAATATTTTAGAAAGCAGCTATTCATTTTGAAGTAAACGAAAACGTTTCAAATAAAATTTAATTTGAATAAAAGTATCAAAATTTTTTAGTGTAAAAGTAAATTATTAAGTAGTTTAAGTGAAGTAAAGAAAAGAATTTTGAGAGTAGAAAAATTATAAAAACAGATTGGCCCTCATTTAAGTTGCTTACTAGGTTCCATAATATTAGGACTATATTTAAATTAATGTGTCTTTTGGCAAAATTAATTTTGCATTGAAATGTTAATTAATAATTTATGAACTTTACATCTGATATATGCAGAGATGTTTAAAAAAAAACATTTATCTTTTACAAGCAACAAGTTGGTTCTTGAAAAGCTGATGTTTCAGATGTATTTTTGATAAGAATAATATTTTATCATTATATCAGTCACTTATTCTTTATGTCAGTGAAATTATTTTTGCCAAATACTTTTACAAAACACTTTATTAAATATTTTAAGGGGACAGTTTATTTCAAATGCTCTCAATGGTACTGGAGAAAAAATATCAATAAATTATCTTTTAATTTACTTATATACATTATCAAGTTTAAATAAAATTCACTTCTTTAAATTATCTTCATTAAAAACTAAATAATATATTTTATGGCACCTGAACTCTGAAGTTGCTTTAAAATGACAATTTTAAAATCATTACAGTGACTACAATAAGTTGTCATACTTTTCTTTTTCATTTCATCACTTTTAAATGAAGAAATCAGTGACATCAAAAATGGATTTTGAAGTAAAATTACTTGAAAGCTTTTAGCTAATACAGATGTAAATCTAGCAAAAAACAAAAATTGCAATGTATGATTTTCGTCAACTGGATGTACCTAAGCATCAAAATTTTATGAAATCAAAACTGAGAATAAGTAACGTTGACCAGTGCATTAAATGGTTTCTATAAGCAATATCTTAATGGTGATTTAATTTTTAATAAATTTTCCCATTTTTATTTACACTTTTTAATATTAAATTTGCTAAATGTAATTTTTCACCTTAAAATCAAAAGATGTAAGAAAGATTTTGAAATCTTAAATATGTGTGAGCCTTGAGAAATGTTAAAAACATTTGATTTAGTTTTATCACTTATTTTTTGAAATTGTCATGAATCTAGCACAGAACTTACAAAATTCCATAAAACTATTCTTCTTTCATTAATTGATATATGCAAAGTATAGTATTATTACACAGATGAGGTTCAGGTCAGGCACAAGGCCACATTTTAAAAAGATCAGTAGCATATATAATGAACACTTCATCCCTGTCCTTTTTTCTATGGCATCACAAATAAGACTTCTAATGAGAACAAGATAACCAAAATAATGCTTTTTGATAAATAATTTGTTACCAAGCTGTATCACATCACAGAGAAAGAGGTTAAAGATGAACAATAAACACCTTTATATATATATATATCTTAAACAATTTAATTCAGGGCAGATACAAATAGTTACATTATTTTGTAAAATAATTAGAAGTATGTTGTTCAACTTTAACAAAAAGTCAAAGGGAAAGAGGTAGGGTGGTAATTTAAAATAATGTTAATTAGTTATATGCTTGGTAGCTTCCTACATAAAATTTTGTAGCTAATAATTTAAGACCCCTTTAACAAACAGGTAAATAACTTAACTGTTTAAAAAGAAAGAAAATCCAATCATAAATTCAAAACTACTTTAGCAAATTAATATGCAATCGTTAAGTAAAGAGCATCCATATAAGATAATAATACTAACTAAACACCTTTACACCCATATACAATGTTAATAATACTAACTAGACATCAATACAGAGCTATATTAAATCTAAATGAATCTTACAAAGAGAATAATGAGTTATATAAGGTGCACCGCATTTCATCTAATTATTACTATAAGAAAAGTATTATCAAATTCAAAGTTTAACCATACTGTAAAGTGAAAGGTTGACTGTCTACAATTTACAGTTAATTTACTTTGGTTTAATAAGGATTTTTTATCAGAAAATCTGATAATTTCTAGTTTCTCATGTAAGCATAAAAAATAAGGTTTATTTAACTTTTACCACACTACAAGTGACAATAGTCACCCTAGAATTCTTTCCCTTACTACCATTAGCAACTTCTATTGCCTGAAATGGTTGCTAAAAATAAACACTTATCAACTGTTATTTCTGGTATTTTAAGCTGGAAATAACCTACTACAGCTTTGAAAGAAGGCTAAACTTCTGTTTTCCAATGCCATTTTGAATTCTTCTAGATTCTACATAATGTGTAACATTGCTTAATCCCATGTTAATTTTTTCGTGATTTTTTGTCAACAAAAATGGCTGCGTCAATATCCAACAAAGCCTTTATTTAGGAGTTCTTCTTTGATTAACACTGATGATGATTTTAAAGGCTTTATTTGAGTGGATATTGACGGTGAAATGGCCGGAGATGATAACCACATTAGTGACGTGGAGGAAAGTGACGACCACCACTAACTGCTACTATCATCCATGCCTGAGTAATTTTATGGAAGCTGCTGACAACCATCGATATATCTGATAGCATTTCTGAAGATGAATTATTTTGTCTATTTAAAAGTGACAAAATAATAATTTCATTGGTCTATGAGACAAATAAATATGAGTCAGGTGAAAGAAAGAGCAAACAAATGCTAGTGTCTTCTTGTATGTAAACATGAAGAAACAAGTCACTTTTTTGACAAAATGAAAGCTTTTTTTTAGCAATTTTGCTTCTTATTGCACCCACAGAACTTCACAAGGAGTAATAAAAGTTAAAGAACATTGAATTATTTATGTATTTTTTAATGTATTTGTTTTTTATTTTGCATTTCAATGTTTTGTCTTCAATGTCAAAACATGCATGCAAAACATAATGCATTACACCAAAATATTATTCATTCATTCTTTTATTAGTGTACAAAAATGAAAATTTATACATACAATACAAAGAAAGTTACAATTTTAAAACAGTAGGTGTTCATGTTTTTGCACCCTCAAAAAAAAAAAAAAAAAAAAATGCAGTAGCAGGGGGAACAATTCTAGAAAGAAATTAGTGTGGTAAAAGTTAAAGATCTACATGTTCTACCTTTAAAAAAAAAAGTGTCTATTTTATCGTAGAAGTTTTATTAGCTGCTTTTAAATTCCAAAAATATTTAGAAAGAGATGTACTATTTTTATAAGTACTATTGGTGAATGATAAGATATGTTGGTACCATCTAGTCTTAAAAGAATTCTTAGTACTACCAATATAAATTTTTCAACAGTTGGATTTTCTATTGTCTCTATTGTAGAAATAGTACTTAGATAAAAAAGAGAGTTGGTCAAACATTTGTTTTGTAATGGGCAATAGTTAGAATTCTTGCAATTACATTGCTTAATATTATCAAGGGTATTTATCTTAGAATGTGCATTATTATCAACATTTTTAAATTGTTTAAAATTTTATTATTGTTTCTTTATAACCATCTCAGGATTATTCGTGTAGCGATAACTTAGTTTTAGTGTGTTTCTGTTAAATATTTTACTAAGAGGATTACTTTTAGGGAAATGTTTATCAATTAAATGGAGAAACTTCTGACCTAACTTAGTACTGATCAACTGGTTAAATGGGGGTGTATACCAAATGATTTTCCTATTTCTTTTCCTTAGATCTCTATTATCATGTTTTCTATACTTGACTTCAGCATACTTGTAAAGTAGTATGATAAACACCATTATATTTATTAAACACATCCCTGTCAGATGAGTTGTTAATCCTACATTCTATACAAGAGGGTATATATTTGATTACAGATTATTCTTTTAAATTAAATGTTACAGACAGTGGAATTATACTTCATTTGTTCTCATCTTACCTGGATATATATATATATATATATATATATATATATATAACACACACGTGTTTTATTTATTTATATATATATATATATATATATATATATATAAATGTGTGTGTGTGTGTGTGTATGTTATACATATGTGTGTGTATTATATATACATATATCTAATTAGGTATTATAATTCCATTGATATTTTATAAAAACAATTCTCTAAATAATTGAAATAAATAAAATTCTATGTATAAATGTAACTTCTAATATTCTTTCACAATATTTTATTTAAAATAAGACCCTGAAGAAATAAGAACTATTAACTTCACTAAGTAGCAGGCACCTGTTTATTTCACAAGATAATGATAGCACTCTGGTCAAAATTCAATCCTTTACTGGTGAGACTGGATTTTGACCAAATGGGGTGCTGGCCTGATCAATGGTATATGAAGGCCGTATCTAGCCGAGACCACAACCCCCCTTCCTCCCACCACCACCACCCTCAGCCATACCGGCAAGATCCAAAGGAATACAAGGCATTACCTTTGGGGCCTGGTTGGCTGCAGGAGTTGCTGGAAGTTTATCAGTGTTGACAGTCAACCGTCTTCTGGGCTCCACTCTGGATTTTTTGTCTGGATTTACTTCCATAGCCTTTCCTGTGTTTGGATATAGCTGCAAGGCAGTGGAGGTTTAAAATCAAGGTTTTCCTTACCCTAGATAGACCGCCTTCTTGGGCTGACAAGTTTCATCTACCCGAAGCAACTGGTTATTAGGTGCCAGTGGTTTGCCTTTAGCCCTTCTCCAGCTTGAAGCTGAACTTAGTTGTTAGAGGCTATTTGAAGTGCTTGTCATGGGAGCATTTTATAAACAGCAGGAACTTATCCCCACTATGACAACCATTGGAACATACATGTACATATATAAACATTACTTACATTACGTGTTTTAGAAGCTTCCAAAAAATTAATGCTTTATATATAATATTACATAAATAAACAAACACAAATATTAATAAGTTTGATAATTGAAGCAGATAAGGAAAAATATAAATCAGGATTTTAGTCTAAAATACTCAGAGATTATGAAGTCATTATTTATAACATACAATAAAAATAATCTATACTATGATTTTGACAGTACTGACACCTAAACTCAATTAACAAAAAGTAAATGAGAGTAGAAAAAGTTGATAAATATAACTTTAGGTAAGCAAAAACAGAAAGTAAATATAAAACAATCTTCAGGATTAACTTTACTAAAATCTGCAAATTTCAGAACATTCTAGTATTCTTAATGATATTATATATTCATAAAGAAAACTCAAGATATGGTCAGTTTTCATTTGATATTTGTATACAAATAATAGAACTTGTATCTAAATGAATGCACTTAGGTTTAAGTCTTACATTAGTATTTATAATTCATATAAATTGCAATATATGAACTCAAATGATACTGAAATGTTTCTAATATAAATTTCTTTTTAAATTGAATTTTTCATTAAAATAAAAAAAATATACTTACTGTTGCTCCATTACTCTCATAAAGAGGACATTTTTGTTTGATTTTATGAAGCTCCATGTTGATTTGTCGGCTGCACACAGTAATTGGGTTGCCTCCTACAATTAAGAAAAATTATCCAGAATTATGGAAACACAATTATTAACACATTCACTGCTACCTTTGAAATTCAAACTTTCTTCTTTTTTTTTTAAATAGTTATCATTGGAAATGTCTATATAGGACTACTTATGCTTTATTTTCTTAGCTCAATGTCCTGAGAAATAGTTTTCTTCTAAGTGGGAGAAGCAGACTGAAGACTTCCTCAAATTCCTTGCAATGTATGCTGATAAAGTTAAAAACTGATGAAGAGAATAGACATTACAGTGATAACTTTTAATGGAACTTCATCTCCACTTCTAAAGGAACAAAGGAAAGAAGAAAAGGTGAATTGGTGTATTCAAACAACTCTAACATTTGTAATATAGAAGAATCAACTCAAATGACCTTCAGTTACAAGTGCCAAGGCCAATGAGTAGCAGTATACTATTACTCCAACTTTTACATTGACCAAGTCATTGATATTACATCTCCATCCAGTGATGTAATCAAAATTTTAGTTCCAATCAAAGGCAGAAATCATTATTTTTGATGGCCTTTGTTGGATGACAAATGGCATCAACATTTGTCTTAGATTGTACTTTGATATAATACCACTTCCAAGTGATGATAGGATATGGAGTGTTCCAGGAATATTGGCTATAGTAGAGGCTTATAATTTCAGACTGTAATTCACCATTAGAAGAGGAAATGCAGGAGGATCATTCCCACTGTCCAGAAAATTGTTTTCATCAGTTATAATTAATGTATTTTTATTAATTTCAGTTTTTTAGCTTGAAGATAAATGAATTTAAAGCTTTAAAATAAACATTTGTTTGAAGGATTCACCAGTTTCATGAAACAAATTTTTAAGATACATCTATGACAAAAAGTATTCATATTACAAAGAAAAGAATTGTTTTGTTGAATTGCTCATGCCTAAATTAGTAAAGTTTAAGTTTCAGGCATGTATCTCCAATGGATACATTTTATGGCAAGTTCAGGATGACCTGTTTTTACCCTACTGTCAAATTGTATTTCTGACTGTTTTTACATGGAGTAAATATGAGTTTTCTATTGGTGTACTACTGAAAAAAAATTTGCTTCATTTCTGTTATGCTATGAATTATAGCAAGTTGCATGGCATTAACTGTTGAAATGAAACTTTAATTGATAGTCAAAATTGCCCTTCTGTATCAGGTTTTGGCTATTTCATTTTTGAGAATACAATTTTTTCCCAATGTTTAAATTGATCTGATGTAATAATTATTGATTCCATTAGTATTATATTTCTTTTACTTTACTTTTTTAAAGACTACCTATATGACATTACATTTATAATGATTTTTAACTAGTCTGAAGTTGGCATCTTCGGTTATAAATTATTGAAATTGGCTTCTGGCCCAATAGCATATGGTTGGTTGGTTGTTGGATTTAACGGCATGTCAACTCTTATTTGGGTCATTTTATGCCGAAGCCTTGTTTATTTATGTATATAAAATGGTTGTATTGTATAAAAGGTTGGGAGGCTGTTGGGTTTCATAATCTACTGTATTTTTTTTTTGATTGCTTTTTCTTGTGATTGTTTCTGGTTGTATATTTTCATATCTACATCCATGCATGCATATATATGTCTATAAACATATATACACATACATTTACACTATTTGAAAGTGTTATATTTTGTTGAGGATCTTGAATTCTTTGAGAAAGTTGTATATTTTATCTGTGTCTGTATTTTTAAAAATTTCTTTTAAGCCTTTTCCATTGAAACATTTTTGTCTCATTTTAGTTATGGTTTTGCATTCCAATACGATATGTTTTATTGTGATTAGGCTTCCATATCTGCATTTAGGTGGATTTATCTTTTTTAGTATGTAAGAGTGGGTTAAGTATGTGTTTCCTATATGTATTCTGGTTATAATGACTTGTTTTTTCCAAGTATTTCCAACATTATTTGGGTATATAAATGGAAAGAATTGTGATGGTTTTATCTAGTGTCACTTACTTTTGCTTGTAATTTAGTTTTAATATGTACTTTATTTTGCGGTATGTCATTTCTAATCAATATTGACACTCCTCCATTAGCTCTATGTCCTGTATTGTGGTTATAGTGGTATTATTTATAATTTTTAAGTTAGCAGCATTTTCTTGTAAATAAGTTTCCTGTAAGCAGATGATGGCTGGATACAGTAGTGACATAAGTATGAGTAGGACATTGCAATTAGATTTTAATCCACGACAGTTCCATTGCATGATCTTATGTGCCATAGTTATATTTTCATTTTTGGGGGGTAAAGTTACCTTCTAGGTTTATATCATTTGTCCTCTCCAGTTTTTTTCCAGCTCTTGAGTTTTTTTAATTTTTATCTTCAACTACTTGTGGTGTCCTTCGGTCAGATTTTTGGTTTTGTTTTGGAATTTGTTTATTTTCATTCTCTTCTATTTCCATATATTCCAGAGGTTCAAATTTATTTTCATTTAATATATTGATTCTTGATTTTGAGTTAGATCTTGATCGAATGTTTTCTTGTTCTGTTGTTACTTTTTGTTTATTTTTCATTTTCTTGGTTTGGGTTTGGGAAGAAGAGGGTTCGCTGGAGTTTTGTTTTGTTTTCTTTCCGGAGTTTTTTGCCTTCTTCTGGGTTAATTCCATTTGAATTGGGTTGTTGAGTTTTATTTTTATTTTGATCTGATTTAAGTTCGGTTAAGAAGGTTTTTAATTCTTCAAAGAAAGCTTTTAATTCCTCATATAAATTTGTTATTTCAGTTGAATCTTTTATTTTATCTTCATTGTTTATTTTATTTGCTTTTTGTACCATGGAGGCATAGGTGTTTTCATTTATGTTATTTTTAACTTCTTTTCGTGCTTCTGAGAAAGATATATTTTTTTTGTGTTTTATTATGATTATTTCTTTTTCCTGTTTGTAGATATTGCATTGTTTTGAGAGGGCAGAGTGATTTCCCAAACAGTTTGAGCATAGGCTCTCATTTGGACAGTTCTCTTCTTTATGTTCTGGTTCTTTCTCACTACATTTTCCACATGTTTGTTTGTTTCAACAAGAGTTTCTATGATGCCCAAATTTGTGGCATCTGTAGCATTGAAGAGGGTTTGGTATGTATTGTTCCACTTTTATAATTTCATATCCGATTTTAATTGTTGTCGGAATTTGGGGGGAGTTGAAAGTTAGAATGTAGGTATTAGTTCATATCTCTGCTTCATTTTTCTTTATTGTGATTCTTTTGACGTTTGTAACACCTTGAGTTTGGAGTTCTATTTTTATCTCCTCTAGAGTGCACAGGGAGAGCTCCTTGCTTTTTACTACACCATTTGAGAAATTTGGTGTTTGGTGTGGGTAGGATTTTATTTCTATTTCTTGTAATTTTTTTTGTCTTATCCCAAATGTATCTGCATATATCTTTTTTTCCACTTCCACTAGTAATGTTCCATTTTGTAGTTTTTTTTTACATTTTTTGGTGTGATTATATTTGATATAGCTTTTTGGATTTTAAATGGAGATATTTCAGTTAGTGCTTTGTTGCCTATTGCTTCTAGAACAATAAATCGTGGAACGTTTTCATTATCATTTTTTGTTTCAGAATCATTATCCACATGTGGTCTCTCGGAAGATTTCTTTTTTTCCACTGATTGTTTTTATTTTGATTCATCTTCCACGCTCCCTACCCACCGCAGAGTCCAGGATTGGGACATGACAAGGGTGAAACCCATTCACCTTGCCTTGTCGGGGTCAGGTCTACGTGAAAGGTATACTCTATTTGGGAGGAGTCTTTGAGCATGCGTGTTCCTTTGTTTCCATTATCCAAGTTTTATGGCTGTGAAGGTTTAGCAGGTGTGTCAGAACCTTTTTTTCCCAAATTGATTGACCGTCAGGCACTGCCTTCCATCATATATTTAGGAGTAGGTGTTAGTTTTGGATGGGAAGAGGAGTATAAGTTATAGATTTGGGGTGGATTATATATGATGGGGCTTGACATGACCAGCCAATTGATCGGATCGGGCCCCTCCGACCACCCATCTAACCCAGGTAAAGGCCAAAGTGGTGTGTTGCAGAGTTGTGACCGCTTTACACCTGGATCACGACCTGCTCAACCACCAGGATCCCGTCCCCAGACATTACAGGTCACCACCCACAGCCAACAGGTGGCCCCATTGAGGGACTTTTACCCTCTGCAGGGGGGCAGTCGGCGTATTCTGATGCCCCATCGACTGGGCGCCAATAGCATATGGGACAGAAAATTGACAAACATTAAATGGACATAACTTTGGTACCATTTTTATTTCTGTATTAAAAGTTTTAGTTTGGGATACCTACTTTCAGAGTAGAAAGTTCCTCAATGGAATCAATGATCATGTGTCTATGACCAAGGCAAGCCTGCAAGTTGGAGGAGATTGACTGTGATTTGACCTGGAGAAAGATAGGCTCTACTAAGTATACTTGCTCAAGACAAGCTACACATGAATGAATACCTGTCTGGCTTTCAACCCAAACAGGTGGAGGAAACTGCTCAGCTTCACAGCAACTCTTCAACCACACCCAGTCATGGGACTGATGATAATGAATAACTTAATATATATTAATAAATTTGTTTGTACCAACCAACCTGCAATGTATTTACACTTATCAAATAATTTCATGGCATATCCTTCAATTGCAATAAATTAGGCACAAAATCTAATTTAGACATGGTTGAAATATACTTGTCAGTTTTCACAAAAATTATTGTTTCATGAATTAAAAGGAAATACTTTTCTTTGTAAATAATTTTTGTTTGATTAAAATGATAATAATATGAATTACTTAAGCATTGTGTTCTTAAAATGCAGAGTCCTGAGAGAATTTCTACCAGTTTAGCTAGTACATACATTTCTTTTTATCTATTCTATTATTCTACTTATTTGTTTGTATAACCATTATGATTTTCTACCTAGGATCAGAGCATAGTATCTGTGCTTTTCTGAGCTGGAATTAGTTACACTCAGACTGAGAAACCTAGATAAGAATATTAAGCTGAAAGGAATCAGGAAGGAAGAGAGAAAAGGAGGGAGAGGTTGTTGTGAAGGAAAGGTAGGAGGTAAAAAACCTAAAGAAAAAAAAAGAAAAAAAGAAAAGAAACCAGGTAAAAGGAAAAAACGTTAATTGAAAATAAGACTGCAAGATCCTCAAGATATATGGTTCAATTCCTTCAAGATTAAATGTCTAGACAATATAGCTGGATTACTGTAAATCACTACATATACATGCACAGTTTCCAAAGTAAGAGATATATAAGCAGTATTCAGACCCTATATTAATATATTGTATATCTTCCTTGGGTATTAATACAAGTCTGATCTCTTGTCTGCATAGTCAAACATTGTCCCATACATGTTCAATATTTTAAAGTCTGCTAATTGTGCAATCCACAGAAATTGTAAAATGTCTTCCAGAGTCTACTGAATAGTACTGGCTAGAACAACACACTGCTTTCCTGTTGCAAGAATGGCAGCAGAATAGGTTGACCAATGCCTTCAACATACATGGCATTTTCCATGTTTCTTGAATAAACATCAAGATTATAAAATTATAGCACCTAACACAATAACATTGTGCCTGTGTGTCATGGACAAATCCAATCTGGATGATATCACTATTCAGGTCTCAATTACAAAAGTAAATAACCAATCACTTAAATAAAGGCAAAAAACACCTCTAATCACTGAACACTACATTGTGCTATTTAATCCTCCAGGTGAACCTCCCCACAACACATTTGGAGACATGTATAATGGCATTGTGACAAAAGTGAAATTTAATATTTTATGAGTACCTATGCAATTACTTCATTATTATTCTCATTTTCTAACTGTACAAATTTGATTTAATTTTTGTCTTAACATCGCAAATATCTAGACATAAAACAAAATTTGGGTAATGAAAATAAGCAGACTCCACTTACCTAAACCCGTAACAACCATTGCTCCTAAATCAGCAACATAATTGCCTTTACGGAATGTAGCCACTCTGCCTCCAACACGATCCTGCAAGAAAATATAGACAATTTCATTAATCCATGTACTATTGCTTGTCTACAGGCTAATCCTAAATCACAGAAAAATTATATCTTAAGAAACAAAAATTCAATTACAGTTAAGAGCAAATGTTATATTTTCACAAAAGAATTTATATCAGAAGAATCTGAATAATAAATAGATCAACAGTCAAGATAATGATAGCATCACCACCATTCAAAATGTTTCCAATAAACTGCACTGTTTAGAAAAAGCAACATATTCATCAGCATAGTCAAAGATATCTCCAAAGTATGTTTAATATTGCCCTAAAGTTTCTCTGAAGTTACACGGAAAACAGGTTAAAATCCACTTGTTTCAAATGTCTACAGAACATAAATTAAGAAAATCCCAATGAAATGAAATAGCAGTGATTTTTAAAACCTCTATTAAATCAACCAATAGATCTCAGACGGAGTCATTGTTCTCTCAGTCTTAAGCTATTTGGCTTGATTTAGGTTTTTGATCCTCACAAGTTATTTGTGTTTACTCCTCATCATTAGCCAGCAGAGCATCCTCTGCACCACCACTCAACAGAGTGTTTGCTGTCTCAGTCACATCCTGAATGACCTGTTGACTACCTACCAGTCATCTACCAGTTCAACCCTCCATCTTCAGACTGGAGATGACCTCACAGAAGAGCTGGAAGGATATTGCCCCACAGGACCTCCAGCAATTCAACCTAGCACTAGAGGATGTCCTGATGCTCTGACAAGACAATGAGAGCTGGAGGGACCAAGTGGTTCTTGTGCGCTCAACATCTTCATGGTATGAGATTTAGCAGCATTATCATCAAAAGCATCATTTGAAATGAAGTATTGTCTAATATTTTCATTGATGACAGAATTTTCCTACCAAGAGTTGATTTGTTAACATTTCTTTATAAATATTAGAAATAGAGGGTAAATATTCATGGTTGAATTTTAAAGTGTTTGTTAAAATCAAAGAAAGAAAACAAATGAGAAAGAAAAAACAAGACACTTACTCGAGCTTCCAGAATTGTAACATCCATGCCAAAAGATATCAGTTGCCTTGCTGCAGTCAGGCCAGCCATTCCAGCTCCAATGATAACCACACGGCCATGCTTCTTGACTAGAACCAACCAATTAAAGAAAACATTGTAAACTCTTGGTTTTATTTTACATAATAATAATAATAAAAATTATCTGAAAAAATACTTTAGTTCAAACTATAGAGCTTATTTATATCTTATAATAACAGCAAAGGTTTACTGATATTAATCTCATCAGGTATATTTTACTTTCTTATAAATGTTTAGTTTATTTTAGCATACTGGAGCATAGGGTCATGACTATACTGAGTAAGTTTATGCAGTTTATAGAGACACGTTTATAACCCAACATCCAAGATAAACTGCTTTGCAAGGCTAAACCATAACCATAGCTAGAAGTAGATACATGTTGAAAGGGCATTAGTGTAAAGTGAACACAAATTGTCTCAGCCAGGGTTTGAACTCAGTTTGCAGATTCCATTATTGAGGTTTATTTTTATTTTTTTTTAAATCAATATCACCCCATGCAAGGCAGTAAAGCCACTAAGGCACAAGGGGTTACAAGGTGTGGAAGGATTAGGAACAGAAACATTAATAATGAGTGGGAAGAGGAAAGAGTAATCAGGAGGACAGTAGATAGCAATTGACATTGCATTTAAATTTTTGCAAATTAAAGTTGGCTGAAAAACATGAAGCCAGAAAGGAGTTCCACAAGCAAGAAGTATGAGAAAAGAAACTGTTAGCATAGAATTTACAGTTACATCTAGTTAGCTCAACTATAAATTGATAGGATCTCAATGCTAGTTAACTGTTAAACCACTCTATACCTCACACATATTAATGAATCTCATCAAATATTTTGAAGAAGAACATAACCTCCCTAATTAAAACATTTCTTAATGAAGATTACTGTTATCTATTAAATGCATTGGGCTGGTTTTGTTTTAATTTTTGGTCAACATATAAGCAACAGCAAAGCTTATTCATGAATTAAATAAAAAGCAAAATCAATTTATTAATAAGCTTTTTCATCATTTTCAACTAACAGTTAATGAACTGAGAATGACAAGATATTAAAAAAGAAAGAATTTTTACATAATTATAAACCATGCCATATTTCAATTCTAAATAAAATTAGCCGAAACATAAGCTGAGTATCCCCTATTAGAAAAATGAGCAAAAATATACCTGGCAAAGGTTTGAGTCGTTTGAAAACACCAAAATTGATGTAACCATATCGGTCAAGGTAAGCATGAATTCTCATCACTAATGGACCATCACCTGAAAACATAGACAATATTTTTTCTTCTTTTCATATTTAAAGAATTACAGAAGGAGAAAATTATCTCCACATAAAAAGTAATAAAATATTTACAAGTGGTCCACAGATTCAAAATCTAACATCATGTTAGAGGTTATAATGTGAAATATCTTATACATTGTTACCTTATTACTAAATGACAGCACATTTGTTCTTTTATACAAGAAGACAGAATAGCGGTTGTAACAGAATATAAGCAGATGAATTCAGTTAGCCTTCATTTGTTAAGATTTATAAGGCCTACAATAGGCTGATAAAAAGATATGATGCGGGTTCCAGCCTAATATAGGGTATAAATTAGGCTGAAAGCAGATAGATGATAATAAATGCACAAAAACACAAAATAACAGGAAAGCTATTTTACTGATAAATGGTGCAGTACACTTTAACTTTATTTCAGATTCTTACAAAACAAACAACAAAAAAACTTTAAAATGCCAATAAATTTACACCAGGCTGTAAAGTATTAATTAAATCCAACCCACAAGACAATGTGCTTAATTCAGTTTCTAAAATAAATACCTTCAGTCATGTGTTTATGATAAAAATTAGTCCACTTATGATTGTCTCTACTCCGAGTTTTGCAGAATTATATTTATAGAGGTTATAATTCTGTGAAACTCAAAGTAGCAACAGTCATACGATAAGTGAACATATTTAATTTATTATTATTATTATTATTATTATAATTACAAAAACTGCTGGTCTTAAAATATCTTTTTTGTTGCCGTTGTTTGTGTGGGGGATACAAACACATTACATCTATCCCATAATAGTTGATGCGTCTTAATACATGAAATATGTATTTCTATTTAGAGAAAGACATAATAAAAATAGCACTGATGACCCATAACAGTTGTTACATTCAGTGTATGGAATTTGTCCCCAAGTAGTTGTTGTATTTGTAATTAAAATAAAGATAAACTAAATGTAAATTAAACAGTTAACAGTTCATTAAGTAAACATTGAACTGAAAATTTTCTATACAGAAATTAAAGTTATGAACTTTCTCCCATTGCATTTTTTTTCAATCAAAAGAGTGGTACAAACAATGGCCACCGTTAAACATATTTCAGTGTTATTTGGATTTCAAAAGACTCAAGGGATTGAAATCTATGAAATACCTACAGTTCATGATAGTAATGATTTTCAAATATGGCATCATTCAATAAATACATAGTTAAAATCTCTAAGGTCTTACTGGGACCAAAGGCAGAAACTAGTTTAAAGTCCTGCCATATGGTAAGTTTTCAGTTAGTTCTAAGAATTTTTTTTTTTTTTGATATGTCAACATTAAGTTTGATTTCTGATACTTTAAATATCTGTCTAATCAAATATTACACTGATGATTTTCACTTATTCAATGATTCACAGAAAACAGAAAAATATAAAAGATTTTTATTTTCTTACTGTTGTAAGGGGGTTCAATCTGAGGAAGACAATTCTCTACAGTTATTTGCAGTTTGGGATTTTCTAACCATAATTGAAGCTGGAACAAAGAGAAAATATTACAAATATAATACTGCAATATTTATTTTTGTAAATTAATTATAAAATAGCAAAAATTTCTAATTTACTGATATGTAAAGTGCATAATATTTCAATCAATAATCTCCAATCTTCTCCCGGTGATAAATTTGACTTTAATGTTGGAGGGCAGAAATATTAATTCAGGTGATGTATCATCATGAAAATTAATTTTGAGGACAAACAAAAGATGTAGATGTATTTATATCATTTGGTAGGTATCAGGGCTCAACTTCACTCTTGTTTGTTGTTTATAATATTTCAAACAATATTACCTGAAGAACACTAAATGCTTATACCATATTTGGCAACCTTCAGCAGACTTATTTATATGATAATGTATAAGCAAAACAGATGAGATTGTTAATTCACAAAAAATATTTCAAAGTTTTATCTTAGAATGTGAGAAAACACATTTTTCAAATGGATATTAATCATTTATCACACAGATTTGTCACATTTTCCAAATATTATCATCACTTATATGACAATTGTATAAACTATTGATTTGTTATGAAATATTAACTAATTATATCATAGCTAATGCAAAAGTATGCAGTAATTTTTTTTATAAAATTTGTTATTCATATAAATTTAGAGCATCAATATTCAAAATATAAAAGGATTTGATGTAACCTTTCAGGTAAATTGTGTATTTTATCGGAAAAGAATGATTTTGATTCACTGAATTCCTCAAGGAATTTTTCAATATCACAAACTTCTTGGAACAGCTGGCCAAAAAAGGCATGATGCATGGAGCAAAACAAAGTGACATGTCTGAAGAATATGCAATGAGATAAATTCTCATCCCAGTTACAATATGGTTTGCTGCATTGCATTTACTACATGACAACAATCATTGCCAAGCTGTAAAATCATTAGTCAACATCCTGTGCAAGATGACCTGTTCTACATCTTAGAAAAAAAAAATTAAAAAAAAAATCACAAACCATTTTCAATATTTGCTTATCCCTACTGCATCAATTACCATAAACTTCAAGGTTCTAATGCTCAAATTTGCCTTTTTACCAGATTAAGCAGGAAGAATAAACTGCTAAATGTGCAGTTTATAGTCACTCAATATTTTGAAATAAATTTAGCATTCTTTTTTTTCAAGTAATTCTTAAAGAGAAGCACAACTATAAGAAAATAAAATAAAGACAAAATGAGAAAATAAAATAGAGACAAAATGAGAAAATAAAATAGAGACAAAATGAGAAAATAAAAAAAATTCCCTTTGTGAAAAAATGGCAGTGAAGACTTTTATATCAATTTAATTACAAATGTTTAATTTTAAAAAATGTTAACTAAGGCTTCCCTCAGGAATCAATAAATTTCATTGATAGATGAGAAAATAACAAATATTTAAATAATTTGTTCACATATAAGTGATAGAACTTAATGGCAACAAAATAAAAACCTTCTGCCTTTGCCAAATTCAAATCATTAGTGTCATTTTGTGAGCTCATTAGTATTTATTTGAATGTTTAAATAATTTTTGTGATTATCAATTTTTCAAGCAAGAGTATTTAAAGTCAATTTTTACTAAGTGAACATTAGTTTTAAAAAAATAAATAAAATGTTCACTACATTCAAATTTAAGCAAAACATTTTTTTAAATTTTCAGACACACTACTAACATTTTAATGCATTAGCTTATACATGTCTATTCTATATTCAATTAACTGTGTGATATTAAACATACTTCAGACCAGTTTATAATAATAATACTGAAATGCTTTAATCCAACCAACATTAACTTGTGAGTAACAAAGTTACCTTTTTCTAACAAAAGCTTAGGAAGAATTTCATTAACCAATAAATGACTTCCATGTGTAAGCAGTAACTGAAACTAAATTCTACTTACCAGTCTATTGCGAATGTAGAGGAAGATTTTCTGTGCTGTTGGTGGGCCTTGTAAAATGTCAGGAAAGCAAGCTGCTTCTTGGGAAGTGATTTTGTCATAAGGCAGTCGGCTCTGGAAGGCAGCACCTTCTAGTCCTGAAATTGCAACTGTAAAAGACTATAACACACAATTGAAAACACAATCAAAATGAATGCAAAATAAAATGAAGAAAAAAAATTGCTTTATCGTTTATAACTTCAGATTTATTTTTTGTTTTCATTTCATTTTCATGGTATCCTGCATGTTTTTTTTTTTTTGCAAATGGGGTTGGGGAGGAACTGTAATAGATTTTTTTTTTTTTTTAAGCACCAACCTTGGTTGCATTTAAACATTTCTTATTCATGAAATTCCTATATAATTTTAAAAAAAAATACAAGCTATCTTTTTATTATTATTTTAATTTACTCAAGCAGGACTCTACGTTGCGAGTGAAACAGTCGCATTTGTGTGATTTTTCCAAGTGGCGACTAAAAATAATAAAACGCTTATCTTTTGGTGACTGTGTTTTTTTCACCGACAATCTTCCAAAGCCCATTACTGAGTGAAAAATGTCTGTTCAACCTTTTTTTAATAAAACGAGCAAAGTCAAATTATTTAAACAATAAAAGGTTTAATAGAACAATATACAAGATATTAATTGGCATTTTGACGATGGCAGCACACATTTTATTCGCAGTTTCATGTTTCATTCGTCTTTCTGAGCATGTGCAAAGATTTAAAGAAACATGGCAATGAAGAAAACAATACTAAAGCCGATATCGGCTTTCTTCACAAAATCGAACAAAGTAGAAATGCTGAATGAAACTGAGACTCAAAAGAATGCCCCGAATGATAAACAAAGTAATGATGACACACAAAATGAAAGTAAGCCGTCCATTGTATGAGAATTCTGATAAGTTTGGTTGTCAAATTTTGCCTAGCTTTGTTACGATAGAGAAAAATAACGCGATGTATTGTGATTTTTGCCATAGGGCTGGTTCAACTTTGGCTGGAAAAACTGATTTTGTAGATGGTAGTACTAAATTTAAACGTGAAAACGTCCTTGCCCATAGTAAAAGTCTTAGACACGGCAAGTGCCGCGACTTTATCATTAATAAAACAAGCAAACACTCAATTGAAAAGTCTCACATTGCCAAGAAATTTCTCGATGCAGAAATCAAATCAAACGAAAAGGATTTGACGGATTTGAAAGTTAAATTTAACACAGTTTATTGTATAGGAAAGAAAGAAATGGCCTTTACAAAACTCAAGCCCCTACTCTTACTTCAATACAAAAATGGGCTATCTGTGACACCTGCATACTGTAACAATGTTAGGTGTGGTGAAATGATGTCTACTATTGCAAGCACGATCAGAGATGAGACATTGGAATCTATCAGTGACTCTCATTATGTGTCAGTTATGACTGATGGTGCCACTGACAGCTCTGTGTCAGAAAATGAAGCAGTTTATGTGAGAACAGTGTTGAATGGCAAAGCAGAAAATAAACTTGTTGAAGTTATTGCCATTGAACATGGCCATGCTAAAGGCATTATCTCTGTTACTAAATCTGCTCTTTCAAAAGTGGGGATCAGTGATGATGAAATGTCATCAAGAATTGTTGGGTTTTGTGCAGATGGGGCAAATGTGAATACAGGACAGAGGAATGGTGTTGTGTCACTGTTAAGGCAGGAAGTTCCCCATCTCATAGACTTTCACTGTATGGCACATAGGCTTGAATTAGCCCTATTGAAACTACAAAAACAGACTCCTATTATGCAGTCTGTCAATGATTGTCTACATTTGATATGGAAGACTTACCACTTCAGTCCAAAGAGCAAGAGAGAACTCAAGATCATTGGAGAAGAACTTGAAGCAAGAATCTATTCACCAGCGCCGGTGAAGGGTACCAGATGGATTCCCCATGTAGACAGGGCAATGAGAGTCTTTCTCCAAGGAAAGAAAGATGCTCATTTGGCTGAGGATCATGATCAATACGCAGCAGTCTACACACATATGGAAAATCATGCAGCAACATCATCAAATGCAGACATTGCTGGTAGAGCTAAGAAAATAAACAAGCAATTGAAGGATCTTGTATTCACTGCATTTTGCCATTTCGTATCCAATCTATTTGACGAGTTAGCTTTGCTCAGTCTAAAACTACAGACAAACAATCTGATTCTTCCTGTAGCAGTTGCATCAATTAAGGATTGTATGGAAACTGTTTCAAGTATGAAGGAGGAATACATTCCTGGGGGAATGTATGAAAAGTTTATCCTGTGTATTGAAGAACAACAGTCTGAAAATTTGCAGGGTAATCCCAAATTTCAAGGAGTTGAAATGACCGGGAGTCCTGTTTATGAGGCCAAAAAAAACTAAAGAAGCATGTTGAGTCTACAGTTGACATTACAATCAAAGAACTAGAGTCAAGGTTTCAAAATCTGTTGGGAACAAATACAAGTGTAGATGCTCAAGGTGTGGTGAAAAGTTTCATTAAGGTGTTCAATCATGGCACATGGCCAGAATGCAAAAGGGAACTTGTCCATTTTGGAAATCATGAAATAGACATTATTTGTGAATGGTTTGGAAAACTTCTTGTGGCAGCAGGATGCAATATGGAAGTTGTTTAGACAGAATGGAGACACGTGAAATTCTTTATTGCAAATACTTTCAGGGACAAGTCTTATTCTGATCTGTGGTAAATCCTACTGACCAAGGACCCATACAAGACTGATTTCTGCAATGTACTTCATCTTGTGAGAATAATGCTCACTCTTCCAATCAGCTTTGTAGAGTGTGAGAGAGCCTTTTCTGCACAGAAGAGAATAAAGAGCGACATATGGAGCAGTTTGTCTGTACAGAGACTGTCAGAGTTAATCTTGCTTTCTTCTGAAGGTCCAGATCTGGCTGAATTCAACCCAGAGAACTCCATTGACAAGTGGATGGCAAACAGCAGGAGAAGGATTGCTGGGGGGCAAGGACAGTGTGACTGGCCAGCTAACATTGTGTCTGTTGATCGAAAGTGTAAGGACAAAGCAGTACTGTTTGAAAACAAAAAGATTTAGAGTCACAAGCTATTGATTTGACAATTCAAATTGAGCAAGTGTTAAAGTGGGACTGGAAATTGGAATAAAAAGGTAAATGCAATTCAATATTGGGCAAATGGAGTTATAAATTTTAAAAGATAAAATTTCAGTTTGAAACAGATAGAAATAAGTTCAATGTCAGTAACACAAAAACACAGTAGGTGTTTGCCAGACCATCTGGACATTTCCCTTTTCAGTCCCACTTTAAGATCTTAGATCAGCATTACTATAGTGAATATAGTTAATATTTCTGAGTGATATTTACCAACCTGATAGGGAAATTGAAAATAAGGTAAAAACCTGTTGTTAAGAGTGTTACAATAACTGCAAATCATGACTGAATATTTCTAAATGACACCTTTGCCAGGTAACAGTTGAAGTGAATGTAATGTTTTTATGAGGCAGTTGTTGTTGTTGTTTCAAGTTTAATAATATTGAAACTGATGCGATCTTCAAACTTGCATTTGTCAGTTGACTGAATTATCCTGAGTGATATTTGCCAGGTAACTGTAAACAGTTCTACAGTTTCTAGACTCAGTATAATGTATTTATGATCTTTTTGTTTGAGGTTGTTTAGTAATATTGAAACTGATGAGATCTTGAAGACTTCAAATTTGCATTTAAATTTTGTCAGTAAGTTTACTGAATATTTCTAAATGACACCTTTCAAAGTTTGCCAGGTAACAATTGAAGTGAATGTAATGTCTTTATGATACAGTTATTTGGATTTACTCTTTTCCTTATTTTCCATAATATTTTTGGTGTGCTTTGTTTTAAATGCCCCATATATGTTTAGAAGACATTGTGCTGTTAGTGTATTTACAACTTGTAAAGGATGTTTTGTGTTCATAGTTTCTTTTTCTTCATTGTCTGCTTATACAGTGGCTTGGTATATTACATTGTTCTGCAAGCAATTACTGCTTAAGGAACATTCATTCTTCACTCTGCAAGTAATTAACGTTTAAGAGATATTCATTTTTTTGTTCTGTAGTTACACATGGGTTTGATTTGTGTGGGTGATTTGTTGGTTGTTTTCCTATTGTGCTTTTTTATTAATTATGTCATGTGGACATCTTGTGAAGAGTGCTTGATAGGGAAAAGTGTTTGTATATGAGTTTAATGAATATTTTTCCTAGGTTTGTTTTTAAGTTTTTGTTGTACATTGGATTGAACTATATGATATTTCTTCTCCTGTGGGCTTTTTTTGTGCAGTGTGACATAAAAAAAAAAATTCTTAAAAAAAAAAAAAAAAGAAACATTTCTAAAATAATTTATTTGTCAATAAGTTGTGAAAGTTTCATTAAAATCTGACAATTATTTGATTTTTGCAAGGATTTCCAAATCAATGTGCTTTTCATTGCAAAAAAGATGCTAAAATCTCCTATACTAATTTATTGTTACTCACTAATGCAAGAAAAACAAAATTTTTAACCAAATTTTCAAATATTCAAAAGAATATCAAAATAAAAATCTTTTGGTCTTTTGTCTCAATAATGACAAAGATTTTCACAATAAAACTTTGTTTTTATTAAGTTTGTAGCATTTTTCCATCATTTATGCTAATTTTTCAAGAAATATTTGGAGGCACACACAATTCCTACATTCTTACATGGTTTAAAGTCATTGCAAAAATTTGCAAAGAAACCAGAATAAAGTTAGTGAAGATGAACACACAAATATGAATCAGTGAGCACAAGCTAAAGAATTTGGAATTTCAAAAACAACCTTTCAGAAATCCTCTTGAAATGTGAAGACACTGGAAGTGCTTCAGATCAACCAAGATGTGGCTGCCTTTGAAATTTGCAGCATAGGATGGTAGAGAATTTGATCAAGATGACAAAAGTTCAGCCAAAGACGACTTCAAGATGAGTGATAGAGGAGTGCAACTTGTCTACTTTGATGTCAGTAGATACAACTATGTGCATCCTTCAAGAACATAGACTGAAGTTAAGAAACCAGTTTTAAACAAAAAGCAAGATTAAGTTGGCCAAAAAGGTATGAACTCAAGTGTGCAGATGCTTGGAATAAAATCACACTCA